ATTAGGATGGATGGATGAATGATAGCTGACAGATAGATACCGTAGATAGATAGATAGATAGATAGATAGATAGATAGATAGATAGATAGATAGAGAGGCAGGCAGGCAGGCAAACAAGCAGGCAGGCAGGCAGGCAGCTAGCTAGCTAGCTAGCTCACACATGGCGGACCAAATCGATGATGTAAAAATATGCACTCACTTCCTAAGGATATAGAGAATATTATTCTAGTTCCCTTTCTTTTGATCTCAGTTGACTTAAACAGACCACATAGTATGATTCCTTATTTGGATTTATATTATTTTATTTTTTGGCCAAAGGAAATGAAACCATTTCTAGAACTTATACGGTCTCACTTACCTTGTACCTCCTAAGAAGGTCTTTCAAGCTGGCAGAACTTTGCAAATTAATTGCAACCTCATCTCTTCTTTGCTGATCTATGCAATTCATCCAGGCATTCAGTTCTGTGATGGCTTCATAAGATGACAATTTTGCCATCTGGAGCTGTTAGAAAATTATACCATTATACTTATTTTTTTAAGGAACAAAATCTAATGTATTTTCTAAGATATTTAAAGGTAAAGACAGAATATTCAAGTTAGAAGTATTTTCCTATGGAATCTTTTTCATTTGTTACTTGGAAAACACATGACGAACTATGCTATGCATTTTTGGTGATTTTGTAATGAGCATTTTTCATAACTGTGGAAGAAGTAGGAAGTTCTAAAAGGCAAATAAAAGCTACTTGGTAATAGATTCCAATAGCTGACGTCATTCACATGAGAAAATCATGATGCACATGTCATCATCTTACCTACTTCTCCAACAACTTTTCAGGAATCATATGCTATACTCTCCTGTCTGTAATCTTTAACTGGGCAAAACAGTGCCCAGTAGGGCAACAATTTTTGAAATAAGGATCATGGACTAACTTACATAATGGGTCTAAAACCCAGAACCTGTGACTCCCATGAAATTGAAATCGGGCAAATTTTGTAAAATATTTTATGACCTAAAATTACCATAAAACACTTTAGGACACAATGCAAAGTGTCATAAAACATTTCCCACTGTTCGGTTGCTGATGTTTGACTTTGCAATACCATTCAACATGGGCTATTTTCAAGACAGATACATCTCTAAATATTTTCCTGAATTTTTAAGAACTTTTCCAGTGAAGGCAGTCTATTGTTATTGGAGACTTCGAGAAATCTGGTAAGGAAATATCTCTGAAATGGTTATTGAAGGATTGTCTGATACGTTTTAAAGTGCTGAGACATTTGCTATTTTACAAGTCAAAGATAAAGAACAATATTGAACAATTTCAGTCAAATGTTTTAATGGACAATTGTGAATCAACATCCTTGAGTTTTATACAAATGCTTGTGATCAATATCACAAGCAAGAATGGTTTCCTTGAAAATAAGACCTCCCTAGAAAATAAGGCCAATTGGGCTTTTGAATACATGTGCTAAAATAAGCCATCCCCCAAAATATTGCAACACAGCAGCAGCCATGAGGTGACCACACTTGCTGTCTCTTGACCTCAAAAATAATAAGACTTGCCCGAAAATAAAGCCAAGCACTTATTTCAGGAGTCAAAAGACCCTGTCTTATTTTCAGGTAGTATTTAATACTTCAGAATGATGGATTCATCATAGATAAAAGAGATAAATAAAATTTAAACAGAGAAAGGGCAGATCTATGTAATGTTCTGCAGTATGCAATTAATAACTATGGCAGTCCTCCAAGTTGTTTGTGCCTAGTAGCTTTGCTTTTTACCTGGTGAAACTTCTCTTGGATGCCTGGTAATTGAACAACCAGGTCGTTCCATCTCTGCTCATAGTCTGCCAAAGCTGAGCGGAACTTTGCATCATCAGATTCCTTAATAAGCAACAGCTGATTTCCAGTACTTATGACAGAAGATTTCAAAGAAGATTTATCATCAACTTCTTTAGAGAATTCCTGAAGAAACATACAAAATAAAAAAAAAATGGTATGCATGAAAATGTTGCATTAAAAAGCATGTTAATTATATTAAATTATGATACCATTTTAAACTGAGATAAAATATTGTTCTCTTTTTTTTCACTTTTTTAAAGAATAATCCAAGCACTAGTTAGGTATTCTGGAAAGAGCTGGGAATAGACTGAGGAGGCCAAAGTCCAAACTTTTGCTCAACATGGTTTACTCTTTATATTTTACATTTTAGAGCACCCAAAAACAGTACTGAAGGTTTAGATGGAAAAGTACACTTAGGTCAATTAGACACAGGTTCAAACTTTCTGTATTGACATTTGCCTTTTACATATTATATTTTTGTCTGCCCTCTGGATAGATAGGTGACTAATGATAGTAGGGACCAAGTGGAAGCGAGATGAGAAAGTCATTCAGATGACAAAGTCAAAGATAATTGCAAGAATGAGGGCTAAAACATAAAAATGTAACAGCTGTGAAAGATGAGAGGAGAAATTGTTCTTTGCAATATTATATAAAATAACTATTGGTTCTACCTGTTATCTTCCAAGAATAATTATACTTAGACATTAAATTCAGAAATGATTCTTGTCTGGATTGATTATAATTTACTCCCGTACGTTGGTTGTGAATGACACAGCCAGCTACATAAAAGAGAATCCAGCTGCTATCTGTAAAGGTGGGGGTGGGTGGGTCTGGAGAAAACTATAGAAGGATTGACTCAGTAAATAGGGCTTTGAGGCTACATTCAAATATCACATTAAGTCAATGTTTGTTTGTTTGTTTGTTTTAATAATTTTTACTAAATGTTTTAATCTTTAAAAACAATAGGAAAGACACAGCAAAGAAAAAAAACACAATAAGACAAAACAAAACACAGAACATACATAACAATATGCAATATTTTTACAGCTTTCTATATCGGCTTTCCTTCTTAGCTTGTTTTATGTTTGTTTGAAGCTCAATTTTTTGAACTGTCAATCTTGTAAACAATTATGAGTGACTTGAAACAATTTCCCTTTATTTTCTCTTATTTGCCTTGCATCTTTGTGGTTTAGTTAGAGGTTTGCATGAGACAAACGGTCATACCAAATCAGGAATAATCCAGAAAATTATAAATAATTCCTACATCTCTGCATACCAAAATCATGTCACGTCACAACTACAGTCAGTAACAAACCATGATTTTGAACTGTGATTTATTACCATAAAATGCAACAGTTATTCACCCAGCCTTAACTAATCAAGCTAAACAAATCACATTAGTGTGCAAATCTAGCCTTTTTGCATGAGTGTCATGCAGTGAACCAAGCTTTATCCTGTGAGATAGATTAGAAAAGGAAGTCTAATGGCTTGAAGATGACTTCACAAAATAGCATTAGATAAATACATTGAGAATATTGTATGTTTATTCATGGTTCTTAGCAATAAAAGTTTAAAAAACATATTTGACTAATAGGCATTGAGCTCTTTAGAGAGATGATAGGCCTGTATTGGAGGCAATTAGATTAGAGGGCAAGACTGTCCTTGTATTTTTATATCAGTCTCTGCTACATAAACACTATCTAACTTACAAGCAAACTCTGAATATGGTTCCTGACAGTATTCTGGTCCTGAGATGCATTGAGAGACTGCTCCTTCCAATAGTTCACATTTTGCTGAGCAGATTTCAACCAGACATTGAGCTCCTTTGAGTCTTTGTTGTAACTTTAGGAAAAACAAAAGAAAACAAATCAGGAACTAGAATCAATAAGTCACTACAGATCCCTGAAAACACCATGTTTCTGACTGGTAGCAGGCTTATAAGGCAATTAATAATCAGCAGATTATTAATGAGCATCCTGGCAGATGGAATTTTGGGTCTATATCTGGAGGAGTATAGGTTTGCTAGTCCTACAGGAGAGCAATGAAAATATAAAATGTCTACTCTCTCTCACTCTTTAGATAACCTTAGTTATTTCTCCTCTTGCTGTTTTTCCCATATGCTATCTGTTAACAGATGTTTAGATATTCTTGTATGCCGGTTGTACCCAATCCTGGTTAGGGTTATTCTTCTTGATATCCTTCTGACTGAGCTATTGCAATCTGAAAGCTTCAATTCACCCAGAATGCAACAGCACGACTAGTTATGAGTAGTTTCCTCTTTAAGTCCATATAATAGAAGACAAGCTGCATTGTCTTCTGATAGGCTTCTGGGTATGATTTGTTACTGCTTATTACTTATAAAGCTTCACATGGCATAGGATTAGATTACTTGAAGGATTGCCTTCTGCCAAGAACATATTCCCACAGGTAGGGCCTGCTCCATGTTCTTTCTTTTCAATGTTGTCATCCTATGGAACTTAGGAACTGTCCCTTTTCTGTGGTTGCTTTTGTTCTCTGGATTGATCTCCCCTCCGATATATGATAAGCCCAAATTGATCTCACCCCGATATATGACAAACCTTAATTTATCTCACCTTTAGAAAGCTCTTCCCCCTAAAATTAGGGGCCAACTAAGTATGAGTCTCGATGTTATTAGGTACTTTGTAGCCATTTTATATTTAGCATTTATTTCATGTTTTGTTTATTATTATGTGGGTGGGGGCTTTTTAGAACTGGTCTACTTTCCCAACTTGTCATTTTCAGATTTTGAACACGATTGCCTAGGGAATTATGTGAACTATGTCTCTTGAGGGTACCAGGTGAGGGAAAGCTGACCTTCAAAAGTAAGCAAACATAACTCCTACCTGGACAAGAGTTTGTGCAATGTCTCAAGCCTTTGTAGTTCATGGTCAACTCTTTGGGAAAAAGATGCCCACTGGTGTTCTAGCTTCTCAATCTTGGATTGCAATTCTGGGCAGCTCAGAAGTTCTGTCAAATTCTTTCCTTCTTTCACTATTAGATAATATCTAGCCTGTTCCCCTTCAATGTTCTTTTGGATTTCCTGAGAAACAACAAAGAAATTACATAAATTATATAAAATTATAAATGAAAAGTAACAGATCACATTCTTTTTAATCTCAGACAAAAAGGCAAATCTATTTATCATTAGTGTTCATTAATCAGGCAATCAACATATTTTATAATTGCAATTAGTTTTTTCAATAAGCATTAATTGGGAAAAACATGATTTCTCCCATCTCTATTTCTTTATTTTATTCTATTTAGATTTTTTCCCCCACTTCCTTAAGAGGAAACTGTATATGTTACTGTCTTGTTTCTTTCTCTCAAGATCATTGTTTTACATCTACCATCTTCTGACACAATGTCTAACTGGTGGGAAGAGTGTCATTTTTCCTGTGGATCACAGAATGTAAGAGTTGAAAGTGACTTTGGAGATCTGCTATTCCACCCTATGGCCCAGTGCAGAATTACATTATTATATCAACATTGATGTCTGGCCATCCAGACTCAGTTTAAAAACCTCCACCAGAAACTATAACTTCCTATGCCACTATATTCCACTGTTGAATCGTTCTCTGTGTCACAAAATTTGTTCTGATGTCCAACTGAATTCTACTTTGTTTTTGCTTAAACTCCTTTTGTCTTGTCTTCGTTAACAACTCTGTACCATTTGTCACATGACAGCACTTCAGAAATTAGAAGACAACTAATATGTCTCCCAAAAGTCTTATCCTCTTCAGGCCAAACATATCTAACCATTCCTTCCAGCCCCTAATCATCTTGATGCTGTCCACAAGACATATTCCAGCTTGTCAATGATCTTCTTAAATGGAACTACATGAAATGTCAAAGTAAAGTTTCTAAAGACGTGTTTAACCTTCAATTCTTAATTACAAATAGAAGAAACATTATTCAAATATTAGCTTTTATACAGTGTTTTGTTCAATAATGACCATAGTTACAATGGAAGTTACACAACCTAGGGTTAAGTCAATACCTGGAGGAGCTGAGTCCTTTCCATTACTCTTTCTTCTGTCTCTTCCACTAAAGCCACAAAAGGCACTGTGGGTGAAAGAGCCTCCAGCTTTTGGCAGAATGAAACGTAGTTCTCATCAAATGCTATCCAGTCCTGTAAGATGAAGAGCTTGTTAGTAGCTCCCGAAACCAGTAGTAAACTGGTTGTATAAAATGATTTTCTTTCATTGGTTTCTTCCAAACATGTAAGCCTATACTGGAGGCGATGGGAGTTATGGTCTGATACATCATAAAGGTACCAAATTGGGAAGGCTGTTGTATCCAACATAAACAAATGTATTTTATTCTTCCAATACAAATATGATCTTGAATCTCAACATGGTAGATTATTTAATGGGTATGCAAGCACAAAAATATTTTAATTTTATCATTTATTGAGATATAAAGAAACTCCAGCTAAATCAATCCAAAGTTGTGTGCTGTAGCAGTATCAAGCCAGTTTTGAGTTTGGATAAATTCCAAATGTATGTACAATTAATTAAAATTAAATAAATGTACTCTCACTCAACTTCTGGGTTAGAAGCTGAGTGCAACAGACTGGTCTGAACCTATTTCACATTGTTTTATTTTATTCTCTGACCTGTAAAACCTTTTCCCAATGGGTTCCTTGTTGAATAGCCTGTTCTTCCAATGATTTGATCTTCTCTACCATATCCTTCCAGTATTTCTCCCTGTTTTGTAATATTGAAGCTGCCACTTTTTGTACAAGAAGCATATGGCCGTTCAGTTTACAGAAAAAGCTCTATGTTCAAAAAAGAAAAGGAACATAAGTACAGATAATTATATTCGCAAAATAATTATTCAAAAAGAACACACTTCTCTTTTAAGAGTATAAATAAAGTTAAAATGTTTCTGCTACATGCGCCTGCTCTGGATGTTTCAATAAAACAAAAAAACCCCATCCTCCTTCATGCCTTCAAACTTTTACCAACAGCAAATATAACAAATACATAGAGATCTATATTTTAACAGCTTTAAAAATGGCAAAATGGTAAACAATGGTATTTGTTACATCTCAACCAAGAATACCAATATTCTTCATATGTTAAACATTACAAGAATAGGTAAGTTGTTGGTCATTTGCTAAACAAGTAGAAAATTTCTGGGCTTGCAGATGCAAATCCCAGGAAAGTGGAAAAACCTATGATATTTCCTTAAAAGGGATCTTTTTAGATCCCATTTCCAAAATTTATGAGATTTGAATCAGTGCTAAAATTATGTTTATTTATTTTATTAGTCATCTTTATATGGCTGCTTCCTGCTTCATACACCTTGCTTCCCTTATCCTAGTCATTGGTATATACCCAAAAATCAAGGGAAGAAAATAGACCCAGAAACTGATGGGTAAATTGGTGCAGAACATCTGGATAAGAATGGAAGAATTGGTAGAAGAACTGGACCTTATGGTAGAACTGATAATGTTATTCTGGTAACATAGTTGAATTTAAATCATAATCTGGCTTGGAACAAAGCAAGTTCTCATCTGTTTAAAGACTTTATTTCTTTATCCGACTGAATCCGAAATGAAATGTGGAACGTTTCTTTGCTATCAGTAATTATTCAGTCAAGTAATCAAACTATACTTTTCGTAATATTTTAAATAAGATGTATTTCCATATGCAACATGCAAACAATTGCAGCCTTCTTAATTTGATGCTAAATAGAGGTAACTATTTCCCCTAAGTTTACATTCACAAAAATTAAGTAGGAATCAACTTGTTTTTTATTCAAATGTTCTCCTGGGCCGTCTATAAATTTTCATCTTCATTACCAAGGCTATATTTTATTTTCAGTAAAATAATTATAGCCCAGGATAGATGTTATGATTACACATAACAGCAACAACCCCTCCTCTCCCTATAAAATTACCTCTTCTCATTTGTGATGAGATTACATTAAAAACTCTAAATGAAAAATAAACATAAAACAAATGAATATTCCCTGTTTTTCTCCCCAAGCAACATCATCTAAGCAGTGCCAGTTTAGTTTCCCCATTCACCTCAAGAGAAACTAGCAACCCTCCTCCAGGAAGAGATCTTTTTTTGCCGGTTAAATGCAAGTTATTATTTTTCATTCAATGGTAATATTGCAAAAGCTAATGTAATGCACTTATTAAGATAATTATTGCTTGGAGTTCTGGAGTAAGGCCATTTCCTTCTAACCAATGAATGAATCTATGCATTCATGCCTGAACATATGATAAAATTAAACAATGAATCTCAGTGTTGCCATGATTTCACTGGCTGGGTTCATACAAGGCTAAGAGGAAAAGGTAAAAGTTCCCCTCACACATATGTCCTAGTTGTTCCCAACTCTAGGGGCCGGTGCTCATCTCCATTTCAAAGCTGAAGAGATAGCACTGTCCAACGATGTCTGGGGTCATGTGGCCGGAATGACTAAATGCCAAAGGCACATGGAATGCTGTTACCTTCCCACCAAAGGTGGTTTCTATTTTTTTTAACTTGCATTTTTACGTGCTTTTGAACTGCTAGGTTTGCAGAAGCTGGGACAAGTAACGGGAGCTCACTCTGTTACACAGCGCTAGGGATTTGACCCACTGAACTGCCAACCTTTCTATTCGACAAGTTCAGCATCTTAGCCATTGAGCCACTGCATCCCTACTTTATGCAAGGCTAGAGTAGGCTAAACCTATAGTTTGTGGTTCGATGTATGGTGGGAATTCTGTTACAGTCTTAGCAGGATGAGATGATTGGGAATCAACCAGAATTTGCTATAAGGTGGATGACTATAATATAACTGTTTTAAAGAAATAAAATCACATTAATCCAACATGTGGTTTATTCATTGTGTGTGAACATATAATATAAACCCATCAGTGATTTCTTGGCATGGAAAAAATCTTTAAGTCTAATTTAAGCAGATGTTTATACCTTATGGTTTTCCAAATGTAATTCTAAATCAGACCGACTGGTAATTTTCAGCTTTGAAACAAGTTTCTTTTCCCCAAGATCTATGAGCTCTGCAAAACCTTGTAACAAAGTTTCACACTGATGTTCCTTAATCAATGAAGAACTTAGTTCCTTCTGTTTGACTCTTAGGAACTCCCAGAGGTCATCCAACACCTCCTAGAAATTAAAGGAAATTCTGGTTATAATAATTTATGAGGCTGTTGTAATACAGAGATACTTGTGGTATCTCAAAGTCAATAGCCTTCATGATACCACAAAGTATTAACATTATTACCCTCTAGAATGTGTGTTTTTTACATTACAAGGTTGACCAACAATCAGAGTTTAACTGCATATTTTGACAAATCTACATTACAAATCTACAAATTTTAATTGGCTAAGCCAAGCATTGAATTTCCAAATCCATTCTTCTCTGGATGCAGTTCAGGATGTTTCTATACTATATCTTCCCCATCAAATTACAGTGTCCATCTGGGTCTCACCAAACTCATGATGCGGCTCTAAAGCCATCAATGATTAGATTACCTCCAGAATTTAAATAGATTTTTTAGTTATTTGCTTTCTAGGAAAAATTGCCATATTTCACATTCTAGTTCAGTGGCAGCAACCTCTGGGACATTTAGTCCACGTTCTCCTCAAAATATATGCTTAGCTAGCACATGAAAGAGAGAGAAAGCACATGCGTTTTGGGGAGGGCTTCATCAGCCGCCATAATGGAGGCAGTTCTTTGGAACTGGTGGCAGTGGCATGGTCTCTGGACACTATGTAAAAGGAAGTTGCCAACCCCAGTTCTATAGAGCCGCAGTGGCGCAGTGGTTAGAGTGCAGGACTTCAGGCTACTTCTGCTGATCACCGGCTGCAAGCAGTTTTGTAGATCAAATCTCACCAGGCTCAAGGTTGACTCATCCTTCCATCCTTCTGAGTAGGTAAAATGAGGACCCAGATTGTTGGGGGCCATAGGCTGACTCTGTAAAACCGCTTAGAGAGGGCTGTAAAGCACTGTGAAGCGGTATATAGGTCTAAGTGCTATTGCTATACTCTGTATAGGTAGTCCTTGACTTACAACAGTTCATTTAGTGACTGTTCAAAGTTACAACTGCATTGAAAAAAGGGACTTGCGATTGTTTTTCACACTTATGACCATTGCAGCATCCCCATGGTCAGATGATTGATAACTGGTTCATATATATGCTTGATAACTGGTTCATATATATGACGGTTGCAGTATCCTGGGGTCATGTGACCACTTCTGACAAGCAAAGTCAATAGGAAAGCCAGATTCACTTAACAACAGTGTAACTAATTTAACCACTGCGGTGATTCACATAATAAATGTGGCAAGAAAAGTAATAAAATGGGGCAAAACTAACATAACAAATTTCTCCCTTAGCAACATAAACGTTGGACTCAGTTGTGGTCACAAGTTGAGGACTACCTATATTTGACCATCATGTCTTTTCTCACCCTCATTTCTAGCAATTCTATTTTGTGCCCTTGCCTTTCCCCTCAATTAACCTCAACCTCAACATGCTCGGATCAATTGCATTTCATTTTGTTCAGCTCTTGTGTCCATTTGTTATTCAGCATGTTTACCTCTAGTTTATTCACATCGTGGGTTACAGCAACTGGCAAATGAACTCTTTCTCCACGATCTCTTAGTTTAGCTGCCTGTGTCTCGAAATTTTGCAATTCCAATTCAAAGATATCCATCTGCTGAATGAGATATGAAATGATTCAGAATTAGGCTAGTCTTTTTAATAGCAGTGATATTTCTGCGGCAGAGGAAAGATCTGACAATTTTCTGAATTATATCTATCAAATAGCAGACAACTACCACTCGTTAAGTAGAAAAAGGGACTGGTGTAACTTAAAAAAAAGGACACTCCAAACAAATTGGCATAATTGGACTGAGAATTTGTTTATCTCAGGAACATTATAACAATGATTTACAAATGAGATCTGCAAATAAGTGTTTTTGGAATTCAGTTATTTGACATTCTAGCTAATTGGGCTCTCTTCAAAAATAGTCAAGCCCATTCTTCCAAACAATCACAGCATTTTGTGAACAACGGATGTACTTCATTTTCTGTGAATTGTGTGTGTGTGTGAGGGGGGGGATGAATTAATGGCAACTTAGGGTTATTCCCCTAGGGTTTTTTTTTTCCACTTCTGCAAGCTTTGCAAGACCTCCAAAAATGCTTCTATCATCCTTCTAATTTCTTAATAGTTTTGTCTGACTATAATCTTATTGATACTAGTCATTTGATCTTCAAAAGACTTGCATGGGAAATATTGAAAAGGTGCTCAGAAAGGGCTTCATTCTAAAGAGAGAATTGGGGCTGCTTTCAGTGGTGAGTTCTGGATCCCATTGCAACCAGTACGGTGCAACGAGGCCGGGCGTCCACCACATGCACGCATGCAGCCCGCACACAGCCCACGGATGCATACTTACCACCCACTCCGTGATGCTTCAACTGCTTGTTGGAGCATCGTGCAGGCGCTGTACGCTCTGTGCGTGTAAGCCCCAATTGGCTCAAATACAAGTAAAGAGGGCGGTGGGCAGGTGGGCCCTCCGGAGCACTGTACCGGAATGGTGCCTGGTGCTCCCAGCAGGCACCGGTATGCCTGTACTGGAGCGTACCAGTAGTATCCCACCACTGGCTGCTTATCAGAAGCTGTCAATTGCAGCTTAAAAACTTGAGACCTTTTTATTGTTCTAATGAAAATTTAAGGCAAACTAGATTTTACAAAATAGGAAAAAACTTGACAGGTTCCTTTTTTTCTTCTGTAAAATGAAATACAAGTTGCCTATAACCTGATAATAATGTTTCTATATTTCACCAGATGTAGAAAGTAACATAGATGGGATGGTAGACAGAAAATAATAATGTAAGATTGAGTTTTAGATATATTTTACTGGAGATTCTCAAGGGAGAGGATATTATATACATGATTTGATTCCATGTGTTAGCGTACATTAATATTGAGAAAGTTAAACAAGCAATTATACCTTCATTAAAGAATACCATAGGCACTGGCAGTAACACAGGACAATAGACAACTTTTTAGGGCTCAGAGTTTTAGCATTCAGTCAACATTTTTTTTACAGATATAGCATCTTAAATCAAAATTTAAATACTTAAAAAGCCAAGTACCAAGTTAATATGGCATGCATTACTTAATAGAATATTTAAAATCCTATTAGATGTTTTCAGCAATGCCATAAGCATAGTAGAAATGTGTTATAAACTAGCAAATCAGTTAGTTGTAAATAACATTAATTAGCACCATTAAAGATTACTGACAGAAGTAAGACAAACATTTAGTAATAAATAAATATACAAATAATTCACAGTGAGAAACAATATTTGATTTTTGGGAAATTAAAAGCAAAATAAAAGAATTTAGCTAAAATGCTGGGTGCCTAATTACTCCTGATTTTCATGTCTTTTTTTAATTACCTGGAATTGCTTAGAAATATTATGCCCACTCATTTCACTGAAAAACTGTTGCAATGAGGATTTTTTCTCAATCAATGCATCATACAAGTGCCTGATTTCATTCTGTGACAAGGAACAAAAAAAAAAATACAACATAAATCCAGAAATGCATTATGCAAAATTAAGGGATAATGAAACTGCAATTCAAATGACTTGTTTAATCAGTATCATTCTTTATGTGTATAGGTTTGGAGAGGGGGAGAAAAAGAGTCCTTTTATAAATGGAATGTATTAGAATTACACTCTCAGTGTAGTCGTTTTGTAATCATAAATTGCTTCTCATTATGGAGATCAAAGATTAAATCATCTGTAAAGGTGATAGAGTTTGCATTACGTTTGCAAGCACGGATCTTATCTCAGATAAGCTTTTTTGTGTGTAGAGGTTTTATGTAAGCTTATACCCGAATGACTATGTAGGAAATTGTGCTCTTTTAGGATGTCCATGCAAGAATACAATAAAAAAAGATAATGCTTATGACTGTAAAATAGGAGTACTCTGTCTAGTTGCAAAACTCTAGGTAATAATTAGGCACAAGAGATTAGAGTTGTAGAAAGTTAGCATCCACCCCTCTTAGAAGAATGAAATATTTTAGGAAATATTAAAAAGGCAGAATATCATATTTTCCCTGAAGGAGAAGCCTGTTTCTAAAGACAGAAATTCAGAGTTTTAGCTCCCTGTCCCCAGCAGATATTTGGTGCCCATTGAGAAGGACTGGGCCACCTTATCTATAAAACAAAAGACCTTCAGCTCCAGAATGATGGAATTATCCTTCAGGGCAAAGCCATTCAGCCACAATAGGAACTGCACAACTAAGCACCTTCATTACATCAGCCCAAGCTTCAACCAAGCTTGACTCAGATAACCTACAAAATCAGCTATGACCCCTGCATAGCCTCATTGGTGTCTGACAGCAACCAATAGAATACATTTCTTGCACAGGAACAGGAAGCTCAAGGGCAAGTCCCAAGAGAGGATATAAATAACCTTCATTCTCCACTCCATTTGGTCAGCTGCCCAGGACCTCAAACCCATGTGGTCCTGTTCATCAATATACCATCTTTCCAATCAAGCTCCATGTTTCCAGTGTGTTTCTCCCCACTTGGAACGGAATCATAGGGATATTTCTTCCACCAGAGTTTTATGTAAATTTGATCACATGTGAATTGATATGAGATCACTTAGCATTTCAACTGAAAAAGGATGAAGCCTGTCTTTTTGGCGAGCAGTCATTTTAATAGGTTTTAAAGGTTGAAATGAAAACTTATTCTGCAATACCTGATAATTGATGTAATGGTCCATTTCTGTTTTCATAGACTCGCTTCTAGAGGCAGCAGCTGTTTGTGTCAATTGGAGCCATGCCTGCAAGTTGCTAAAACACTGGGAGAATCTCTCAGAATTCCCACCGGCAGAGGTGATGGCCTTCAGAAGATCATCTTTCTTATCTCCAATATCTGTGTGAAGTTTCTGTAGTTCTGCAGAGAGAGTCTGAAACAGATTGTAGGTGAGATAGGCAAGTAAAAATGGCTTTTGTAGAATCCATCAACATCCATTTGTTTCAATATCCACATGAGATCTGGGCATTCATATACTGTATCTTTCAGCATCTCCAGGATGTTCTCCTTGGACATCTTTGACATGTTCTTGAAGTTGCAAATAGGCTACAGGGATTATATAATGTCTATACTGAAAGATCTGCAATGATTTCCAGCTGTTTACCAGGTACAATTTAAGGTAGTGGTATTTACATTAAAGCTCTCAATAATTGAGGGGTTCAATATCTAAAAGAACAATTGTTCTTTTAGAAACTGTATGGTTGTTAAGATACACAAGAAAAGCCCTTTTGAATATACCTTAATAGTCTCAATAGAGACTCATTTTTCTGAAACAGAAAATGCCCTTCTCCTACATTGCTCCTTAGCTATGGAACACATTCCTTCCAAAATTGTGTTTAACCTATTTCCTTACCATTTAGAACGATACATTTCTTTCACTAGGATTTCAAGACACTAAAATATTATTATCAATTTAAGGGTTAATTTGTTTTTAACTTTCTATACTTGTTTTTTTTGTTTGTAAATTCTATTAGCTTGAGCATTTTCTGCTTGAAATAGGAAAAAAAACAACTACCGTATTTTTCAGAGTATAAGACGTACCAAGGTTTTAAAGAGGCAAATTTTAAAAAAAGTTTTTGCACTCTGCAAACCTCCCAAAAATGGCCCATTTTTCATGAAAATGGGCCCAGATTTTTTTTTCCAAAAAAGAGCATGGGTAGCCCTTAGGAGGCTTGTAGGGGGTGGGCAAAAACGAGCAAAAAAAGGGCATGGATAGCCTTTAGGAAGCTTTTAGAGTGCTTCTGAGGGCTGGGGTGGCAAAATTGAGGAAAAAACTGGCCCTTTTTTACTCATTTCTGCCCTCCTCAGCCCCCAGGAGCTCTCTGAAAGTCTCCTACAAACTATGCATGGGCATTTTTGTGAAGAGGGTGGGGTTTTGAGAGGCAAAAAAATGCTGTATTCAGTATATAAGACGGACCCAGATTTTCAGCCTCTTTTTTGAGGAAAAAAGGTGCGTCTTACACTCTGAAAAATACGATAGTCATTTTTTGGGTGTTTATCTCAGTACAATATCCTGATTTCTCCTACTTTTTTGTCCTTTGAAAACAAGGAGGAACATGGAACTAAAATTGTATACATATTGTAGTTCAGATACTACAATAATTTTGAATGTTGTGAAGCTGGGGTAGACAATCTAGGTCAGTGGTTCCCAAACTTTTTTTGGCCATGCCCCACCTAAGCATCTCTAAAATCCTGACCTATAATTCTTATTTTACTCAAAAAGTGAGTTCTACTCACGCAGAGGAAGCCTAAAAGGCCATTAACTTGGTTTAAACGAGGTTCAAATTGTCCCTATTAAAAATAAAATTGCCCCACTGTGGGGCCTGGGCCGCACATTGGGAACCTCTGATCTAGGTCAATTAACTGATCTTCAGGGTTATAAAAGTCCTAAACCATGTGCATTAAACCTTTGCTAGCTTAATTTATTATAAAATTGAAAACCTTATCACAACCAGCCAAAACATGAAGAATTTGATGTCTTCTGATAATGCAATTGTGTCACTTGTATATTCCCCATAGTCCCATGAAAGCAGCAGAATAGACCCACCCCCCCCCAAAGTGTCAGTGACTGTCTCACCAAAATAGTCCACTTTTCCTTGGAAGGAAATTACATTTCCTGACATTCACTCCAATACTTGGGAGTAAATATGAGCAGATGGCAATGGAGGAAACCAGGATAAAAATGCTGCTCCTCACCCACTACTTCATGAGCCAAGAATTGTATCAACAAATTCAAAGAAGTGCATATTTGGAAGAGTAACTATATTTCAATCCAATCCTGTTAGTTTAGTTAAGTACAAATTTGATCAGATGGTATTAAAATTAAAACTGATCCCCATTTTAAACTTCTGAGACTTTTTGAGATGTTCCCCAATTTTTAAAACATACCTGTACAATTTTAGTGGCTAAAAATGAGCATTTCTTTCTTTTAAATTGGTGTGTCCAAACTGGGCAGTTTTAAAATCTTGGACTTCAACTCCCAGAATTTCCTAACCAACAATGCTGGCTGGGGAATTCTGGAAGTTGAAGTCCACAAATCTTAAAGTTCTGAAGTTTGGACAACTCTATTCTTAAGAAAAGCTAGCATTTTCTAGTGCCATTATAGTGAATGTTTTTTGGAATTATGCAAAAATTATACAAAGCAGTATAAAACATACTGCTTTGGATCTCATGAAGTCATAGATCAGGGGTGTCAAACTTGTGGCGCACAGGCCACATGGTTTACGTGGAGGCCACGCCCACCCCAGCTCTGCAAAGAGAAAAAACATGACGAAACATGAATGTGATGGCAACATGACACCACGAGTTTGACACCCGTGACATAGATTCTTCCATTTGTACTGACCTCATAAAGCACTTGCTGTACAGGAGCTTCTTCACTGGAGAGTACACAGGTGCCCAACATCTGCTCCATGTTGTTCAGGCAGTGGCTGATTGCCAGAAACAACTCTAAGAGTTTCCCATCCAAACTTAATGCATTTTCTCCTGTTTCATTTTCCTACAAAATGGGAAGATACGTATTTTCAATTGCCTCTCATGATTTTCCTATTTATTTGGAAGCAGCATATGAACCAGTGTAAATATATTCATGCTGGCGTTGCAGTAGATATATCTGTGGCTTGTTATTTTTATCTATGAAGAAAACAGCTTATAGTAAGTCAGTTCATTTGTCCTTCTATCTGAATGCTGCCTACACTAACTGATAATCAAAAATGTGAAGATTTAAAGAAAGACCCTCTATATTGGGCATTAGATATAACACCAATTCCAAATTGCTTTATGATACAGTCATTTTATAGGTAGTGGCTCCCTTGGCTAAGAAATAGAGATGAGTACTGTCTCCTAGAATTGGAAGTGACTGGACAAGAGAAACCTTTACTTTTACCTGAATTGAGAGTAGATATTTCATGACAGCCACCACCCTGGTGGCTACTTATATAACTCAGAGAAATGCCTTTAGTCCTGTACCTGAGTAGAAGCTTCCTGGCTTAGATTGTCAAGCTGTGCTGTGTATGTTTTTAGCTCCTCAACGGTCGGAGTTCTCACACTTGATGTAGCACCAAGGGACAGAATATTTATTTTGGTAGAGATCTAATATTTGGAAAAAACAAAACATGTTTAGACAAGTGCTCCAGGTTAAATTCATGGTGACATTCAGGCAACCCCCTTCCCCCTTCCCTCAACTTTTAACCATTTATTTAGCAACTGTTTGAAGTCATAATGGCACTTTAAAAAGTGATGTATGATCTGACCTAACATACTGTATATGACGTATGACTTTTCCTCACATGATCAGATTTTGGACCCTTGTCATATATTTAGTTGCAGCATCCAGGGGTCAGGTGATCACCATTTGTAACTTTCCCAGCTGGCTTCCAACAAGCAAAATCAATGGGGAAAGCTGGATTTGCTTAGAAACCATGTGATTCATTTAACAGCTGCAGTTGTTCTTTTAATAATCATTGCAAAACAAATCACAAAATCAAGAATGATTCACTTAACAACCAGAAGTGCTTAGAAACAGAAATTGTGGTCTCAACTGGTCATAAGTCAAGACTACTGTATGATATTATTATTTTTAAAAACAAGTATAATTTAAAGCTAGATCATTGTCATATTCGGGAATGGTGGATCCACTCAAGCAGCAGATTTTAAATCTTCTGACAATGGAAACTCTGGCATCTGTTGCATTCATAAAAAGTATGCTGTGGTACATTGATGGATTATGGTTGCCACACATATTGTTGCCATATGGGAGAACACCTGCATGGCTCCCTCAGATTTGCTTTTAACATCTGATAGTGCTTGTGCGATGCTTCTTATGAGAGACCTAAAAGTTAGTAAGAATAAAAGTGATATACTAACTTGAAGTTCATCCAATTGACAATGAGGAGCATTCTTCTTGAGCAGCAGTTCTTCTTGTAAATATTGCCACTTATCACCCGTTTGGTCCTTTGGAGTCAAACCAAGAGGCTCGTTTCCTGAGCTGACTGTCTCATTGCTGGATTAGCATCATATTCCCATTAGGAGTAAACGAAGGGAGTGAAGCAAAGGCAACCAAAAGGAGACATTGGTTAATATAAGAATGTGCAGAACATAAATCCTGGATCACATCAAAGACTTAACTATATCGGCATCCAGCTTCTAATACAGATATAGAGATGAAATGAAGAAATGGGGCATATATGATTGCCACTGAAAACTGCATCTTCAGGTTCTCTCCATTTTCCTAGCAATATGCCAAGACTGTGTTACATCACATTATGCTATCACATGGATTCTCGGTTTATTACTACAGTTGGAAAAAAGAAAGTAGCAGATGCTGCTTTGAGCATAAGCCATTATGATTCTACTATAAGTTCATTAAATGTAGTATAGACAACTTTGGCTCTTTCAGACATTTTGGAGTAAAATTCTCACAATCCTTTTTCAATGGCCATGTTGGTTAGGTCTAATGGTAATTGAAATCCTAATATCTGGAGGATAGTTGGTCACCTATCTTTGTAGTGATGAAAAGATAAAAATAAGGACAAGAAGTTTCCACTAACTCCTCTTTCAAGCCATTCTGCATTATATTATATTTGGTTCTCTTGAGTTTAATTTGCCTATGGTGATTACATGACATGACCATTACATTTTCTTGGCAATAGCATGGAAAGAACTGAACAACTGTCTTCTTGCAATATATTTTTAAATTTTTTAATCTTGTGTGCAGACTTGAGATTCTAATGGTCTCCTATTCAAATACTAACAAGGTCCATTAATTATTATTTTTTTGAGATTAGCCAAACGGAGTAGAGGTTGCCAACTATACCTTGTTTGCAATTCCAGAACTGTGTTGGGTTTAGGTTGAGGCTGAATTTTCTCCATGTACACTTCTAGGAAGTCAATGAGATTGTCTTGCTCAGACAGTTTTAGCAGCAATTCCTTCAAGAGAAATAAAAACAAAGTTAGGAAAATTGAAATATAAGAAATAGGAGTTTGCCAATAAAAATGCCTTATACTGTTTCATCATAAAATGCAGTAGGAATCAAATTGGGAACCCACAAATTCAGATATTTGTTTATTATTAATTGCTTTTCTCAGTTCAACATTCAGAAGAGGGAACTGCAAGAGGCTTTCTTTATTTCATCCCAGAAGAACTAAGGAAAGCAGTTGGCCCAGGCGACCAATCCCACCGCATTATGCAATTTGTTCTTTTGTCCATGGAGAATTGCCCTCTCTGGTCTTGGATGGGTGGCACTGGCCCAGAAAGACCCAGTGCATAATCAGGGGGTTCTCCTGGACTCATTACTCTGCTCAAGTGGCAGTTGAGGCCAGGAGGCTCTTTATGCATCAGTGGGTTGTGCACAAGTTATGCAGCTTTCTGGTCCAACAATCCCTGCTCACAGTCAGACATGTCCTAATCCCCTCCCGTTCTTCAATGCACTCTACATGGGGCTGCCCTTGAAAAGTATTTGGAAGCTCCAATTGGCTCAAAATGCAGCACCCCACATGGTTCTGTACAGGCCTAGATATGCACATGTATTTCCCCTCCTGTAGGAGCTGCATTGGCTGTTGATTTGCTTCTGAGTACAATTCAAGATCCTGGTGGTTACTGTTAAAGACCTCCATAGCTTGGGAACAGGTTATCTGAAGGGAATATTGTGGATTCCTTCTCCTAAGGAGATACATCTGGCAGGACCCAGAAGAAGGGCCTTCTCAATGGTGGCTCCTTCTCTTTGGAACATCATCCCAGAGGAGATTAGACTAGCCTCCACTTTGACACTCTTTTGCAAAGCCCTAAGACCTGCTTTTGCCAATGGGCCTTGGAAACCTAGAGCCCATCAAGTGGGCTATCTGATTTGTTACCAGGGGGCTGAGGGGGGGTGTCATTGTTTTTTTCTGTTTGCATATTGTTTTTTTTTTGCAAGCTGCCCAGTCAATGAGAGTGAATTGGCAGCCATATAAATTATCATAAACAACAACAACAAAAACAACAAATAAGAAGAAAAGCCTTGGGCAGTGAGATGAATGGTATGTAATTTAATTAATAAGTAAGTGAAAGAAAAAATATACCTGTTTATGCTGAAAACCATTTGGTCTCTCTGAGATCCCATGTGGAAATGAACTAGAGGAATCCAAATGAAATGGCTGTGGGAAGTTGACTGAGGCCTCTTCATTAGTGCTCACCTTCAAAAAGAAAGAGTACTACTTTTTAGAACAAACCTGCAATGATATTTTATTATAAATATAGACAGAACATGCATGCAATTTATATTTTCTTATGCTACCTTTAAAAAAAAAGTAGAAGCATCACTAAAAATACACATGTAAGAACCTTTCTCCGATGAAAATGTGCACAGAAAGAGAATGATTGCAAAGGACTAGGAAACACTTTCCTTTGCTAAAAGAATAAGAGGAGAGAAGCAGGAGGTTCTTAATCATTCCTCATCTTGCTGCTTCTCCCTGTAGCCTTCCTACTCCTGTCACTTTCCTCTCAGAAAGACAAGAAGGCTGGCCAAGATAGACAGATGGATAGTAGGGAAAGGATAACAGGCAAAAAGCAACTACTGAGGGAAGGACTTCATGCTGCTTACTACCCACGGCTTCTCTCCTTTAAATTCCTATCCTTGTATTCATGTTATCCACCAAATCTGGTTGAACACAGTATGTTAGAATTGCAGGAAGCTGCCATATATTGAGTCAGAGTACTGATCTACCGAGTCCAATGCTGTTGACAGTGACTGACAGGAGTTCTCAAGAGTTTCAAGCTGGAGTTTTCTCTGGAAATACATGAATTGAATTTGGGACTTTCTTCCTGCCAGACATGCCCACCACTGTACACTATGCTTGAGCCTGACCTTATTGTGTACACAAATATCTGCTTGGGGAACCATTTTAAATCAAATCTGTAACTCTCTGGCAGCCTACAGTGATGACAGAGAAGTGAAATAATATTTGTATTCATCATTATCAACTTTCTTCTTCTGAGGTGGCTTGGAGGCCATGTGAAGATACTTCAGTTTTACTATCACAGTCCATGATGCTCATTTATTCATTCCTCCTGCTGCAACCAAATTCTCTCCTTCTCCCCCCCCCCCCGCCCCCAGGAGCAAAGGAGACTCTGCATGAAGCAATCCTGGAGCACTTTCATGCAGCCTTTCAAAAATGGTTTTCAAAGTAGTTTTAATAATTGTTGCTATTCTTACCCCAAATACATTATCACCAAGGCCATGTCATCTCTAAGCACAAGGATTTTTTATTTTTGCAGAGAACTAAATCCAATTATGGGCACTTATGAACACACAATCATAAGGAACCAGGGATGTAGGCCCAATGGCAGAGACCTAATGTTCCATTTGTACTCTCTCTGACTCAGTGTTTTTGTTCCTTATTAAAAAAAGCTTTTTTGCAGTCAGATTATATCCATATCGCACATATAAACCAGTTTGAAGCTGCTTGTAAACAGCTGGGATTATTGTGGTTTTTCTTAATGGTTAGCAAAATAATTATGTGAATGTAGATTCTTATGTTGACAAAACAGTGCCATTAGCAGAAAAGGGAAAATGTCTGCAGATCTGGGGGAGGGGGGAACAACATCTGGAGAAAATGAATGAATGAATGAGTGTGTGAGTGTTTGTGAGTAATGTGTATACTGGTTTTAATTGATTTTATAACTGTTCACCACCTAGAACCATGGTTTGAGATGAACTGCTTTTTAAAATTGTTAAAACAAATACATAACTGAACTACACAATGTTGCAATCATTAGCACCATTGCAAACCATGTGAATGCTGTCTAACCCATCTCTGTACTGAACTATGACCTTTGGCTGCTACATGCCAGAAGCAAAGTACAGAGAAAGAAGCCCATTACAGGAAGGGATTGTACTGGTAATGAGCTATTTTGTTATTGATGTGCCTGAGGTTGTTCAAGAAAGGCAACTGTTATGTTTCCCCCATCTACAAACCTACAGGGCAGACCTACACTTTTTAGCAAAATAATAATGCATGATTTTCTGATCAATACACATAACATTAAGTAGAACTGAAGACGCAAGCCATTGTCACACATACATTCCCACAGGGTAGCTCTTCCCCAACCTAGGGCTCTGCAAATGTGTTGGGAATTCAGAGAATTGTGATCCCAGAATAGATGCATACAAAAGACCCCTGGTTTCAGAAGGCTGGAATTACATGTAATTATAATTAATATGCAGGATATACACATATACACACCCTTTCCACCAGTTATCTCCAAGCTGCATGCTTGCCAGATAAGTGGGCTTCAATTACCAGAATTCCCCCATGCTGAGAATTCTAGGAGTCTGAAATCCACATAAATGAAGGGCATCAGGTTGAGGAAGTCTACTTTAACTAAATGCAATAAGAGTTGTTGGCAGTCAGGCAGCATAATAATGACTCTTTAAGTTTCTTGACGTTTCAGTTTACCTGCTCTTCTGTGTATTTCCCTTGGAGCATGCGCTGGACTTTTTCCAACTTGCACTTCACGTTTTTAAGGTTCAAGGAAAGGTTCTCTGTTTCTTGTTCGAGGCCTGAGCTATTGGTAGTGGACGTGCTTTTGCACTCCTCCAATAGCCACACGACTTTCTGTTCAATTTCTGTTAACATCACCTGAGGAAGCCAAGCAGTTAATCATTCACAAAACATTTATTTATTGAACTTCCTAAAGCTTAAAGGCTGACAGCTCCAACGCCTGGAAAGGCCCATCTAAAAGTGACTCCCTTTCCTGCCCACACCTCAGGATTCTGAGGATATGGGGGAATGAAGGAGGCAAGAATAGAAATTTATGCATTTCTTGTACTTGTCACAAAATTCTCAGCTAAGCATGCATTCAGAGGAACTGTCGTGTTTATTACATATATTCTGGATCTCATTTTTTTCTAGTAGAAAGGGAAAAGAGCCACAGGTCCCAGAAATCTAAAAGGGTGGCCTCATATAGTGATATTGGTGTGCCAATTTCACCCTATAATTCTTCTGCAAATGTTCACCTGAGATGATTTCCTTCCACTTCTGACTTTCCCCTTCCACATATTTATTAATCATTGCAGCTGTTACACTGCATTAATCTGGTTGATTTTTATCAGTTTAAAAAGCCAAAGAGCCAATAAAGATCCAACAAGTAACATGGTAGAACATATTACAATATCATAGTGAACCCCGAGCACACCCTTTCTATCCATGACAAGCATTCCCACATTTCATTCTGTTCCTTCAACCTCCAACAACTCTTTAGAAAAGCCTGGTCTTAAGTTTCTGAAATATAGCAATAACAATATCACTTAGACTTACTGTATATATCCCTTCACAGTGCTTTACAGCTCTAAGTGGTTTACAGGGTAAGCATATTGCCCCCAATATTCTGGGTCCTCATTTTACCCACTTCAGATGGATAGAAGGCTGAGTCAACCTTGAGCCTGGTGAGATTCGATTTGCCAAACTGCTGGCTGCCAGTGATCAGCAGAAGTAGCCTGCAGTACTGCACTCTTAACCACTGAACCACCGCAGCCCTAGTGATCTATGATCACTAGGAAAGGACCAATCTTGCTACTCAACCCAGATGTTTCATTCAAGGGGTTCCTTGGGGGAGAATGTTCTCCTCTGATCCTTCCCACCATCCTTCTGCTTCACCTGGAAGACTTTCAGCATACACATTCTCCAGGCCAGTATTTCGCAACCTTGGCAAATTTAAGATGTGTGGACTTCAACTCCCAGAATTCCCCAGGTAGATTGGCTGGCTGGTGAATTCCAGGAGTTGAAATCCAGATATCCCAAAGTTCCTAAGGTTGAGAAACATTGCCCATGGCAAATACTATCTAGAAGAGTTGTGTTGAAAATGAGCAGGACCCAAGCCTAAAAACACATTCTGATTGAGAGCACTAATGGACTTGAAACATTTTCACTGCTTTGTTTGATTGTATTGTTACTTTCTGGGTGGTAGTTGTTTCTTCTTCATAAAGTAGCATCAACCTAACCTCATTTCATAAACTTGCTTTCTGAAAGGTTGACAATAGGGACACGTGTGAAAGAGAAAAACTGTACCAGAGTGACCACAGTGGGTTGGCTAACAGGAAAAGAATGTCCATGTTAAGGACACACTGGAAAATGTCCAGATGGTCTAATGGGACACCAAGAAGCCTTGAAGCCAAAGATCTGTGGAAAGCACAATGTGAGGGAAAATAAGGGCAGCGGCAATATTCATGATCCGTGGATAACGTTTTGAAAATCACCAAGCAATAGAGAAAAACATTACTTTCTTTTGACATGGTCAGCCCAATGATCAGCCATGGGGGCAAGAGACTCAGGAGCATGAGAGCATCTCTGAATCTGTAATAATTTGGAATATCTAAAAGCAGGTTTCAATGGCAGAGATGAATTGAGTACAGGCTCATAATTATTAGCTTTTTTTTAATAGACTTTATTATTTCACTGAGTATCTTTAGAAGGTAGGCTATAGCAAGAAGTGTTCCCTTTTAGTGGGGTTTTGCCATACTGTATCTTACTCATCACAAGACATACAATAGATTTTTCTTATCAAATAAAAAATGAGATAAAGAGCCCTGTGCAGGTTATTCTGGGGTCCATACAAAAACATTGGAATTCAAATTCTTTATCACTACTCTCCCAAATATCATGAATGATAAAGTTTAAGTATTCTTGTTCCAGTTCTCTTCCCATCTATTTCAAAAGTCACTTTGGTGAGGCTTAGTACAAAAGCCTCACCAAAGGTTTAGCCATACTTTTAATCATCTTCTTAAACTGTACTTTAAAAAATCCACAAAAATCCTCATAACTAGTATTTCTTGGAAATCCAGCATCCATTAACCCCACAAAAGAAGTAACAATGTTTGACATTTTCATTTAATTTCTTAATGAAGTTATACTTTCATTTTGTGCTTTAAAAAAATCTTGAACAAAAAGAAGCTAAGCACAAATACCCTTCTACCTAGTTCTTTGAAATTCGTCACAATAAGGGCCAGAAACTTGATTAAGGCCATTATATTTCATTGGGCACCATCCATGAAGTTTAAAATTCATTTTTATGGCAATGCTGACTAGAATCTTGGCAGTGCTTTTTAAGAGTGTTAACTGGAATTCCACCTTGCTGAATTATTGACAAGTAGACATTGCATTGAGGACTCAAAATTAGGGGACAAGGTCAGCATTTTGTAATTAGGACAAAACCTCTTATTGTATCTGCATGGTATTGGAGTTTTAGCACTGAGAGATAATAGAGGCAGCAGTCAAAATGTGTTGTTTTTTTCAAAACGTTATCACACTGCCTTCAGAATATTTGTGTAGGAGTTAGTTTTCATAATCAGCACCGAACTGAGTTCGCAGTCCTGATTATTCCAAAACTTAATTACCTCCTAGCTCCTTTTAGATGGGAAATATATTGTTGCTGCTACTGCTAAATAATTGGGAACTGGAAACACTTGTTGATCAGGTATAAAGTATCAGGCTAATAGACCCCAGTCTGTATTCTGCCCATTCCTGTTTACGAATGAGGTGGAGATAGGATTAAGATTGTTTATCTTGTAGTGCTTGTCCAAGTTAGCAGAGATTGGTTGAATCAAGAGCATTGGGAAATCACTCTAGCTACACCCCTTAAAATTAACCCATCTAACTAAAGGGGCATTTCAAAGAGCACTAGGAGTAAAAGCAGTGGAGACATTAGGTACTGTGTAGAGTGACTTAAAATAAAGCCAACGGTTTACAGGAAAGCAGTGGTGACATTTAGCCAGTTCTTCCTCTTACCTGGCATGCAGCTAGATGCTGCTCCACCGACTGCTGCATTTGACAGATCTGGGCTTCTGATCCTAGAGACTCTTTCACTTGATCGAGCCACAGCTCCAACTCAGCAATCTGAGCCTGGCACACATGGAGGACCTGAGCCGGCTCGGAGTCAGACTTAACCGTGTCCTCGGTTGCCTTTGTGTTGCTCAGTGATCTCCATAAGCACTCGGGAGGGTTGGTGAGTTGGCTGGAAGGTTTGCCCTGAAAGAAAGAACAGCCGAATTCTCCAGGATATTTGAGACCCAAAGCAGGCATGAATTCTCACACTTTGCCAAATGGGATTTTAAAAAAAATAGGTAGATATACATTTTTTAAAAGGAAAGATAGATAGATAGAAAGAAAGAAAAAGTAATCTCGGCCACCAGCAACAACATGTGATCCGGCACAACAGGCTTCTTAGCAACTCATTTGCATTTCCACAGGTAGAGCTGACGAAACAGGAAGTCGGCTGATTCATAGCTTATTATTAAATGCTATCCCACAGGACCTACGGAAAGGTGTTTTTGTAGTGCTTGCCAGATAAGATTCCAGGCACTGCATTTCAAAGCTGGAGCATAGGCCCCGGAGTAAATATTTACTTATTGCTTTTGAACTTTGGTCTCAAAAAGGTCTTTACTCTAAAGGTCTTTATTGTCTTAAAAACAATAAAATAAAAACCTAGCAGAGAAGGGAAGTTTTCCTTCTCCACAAAAGGGAAGGTTGTCAAATGAGGTTTGTCAACAAAGATTTGAGCAATGTCATTCCATCCTTCCTGCCCTCAAGATTCCTTTAGCATTTTGTGATGAGCAAGCATGCTTAATCCCCTCTTCATTCTACTCTCCCCTTTAAAAAAAAGCATTTTGGCATTTTATCAAGTCAGTAATAGTGTCTTGTGTTTCATGGGTGCAACGGCTGAAATATTTGTAGCTGGAAAAGTGGATATACAACCTTCTTTGAACCTTAAGTCCTGCCTGGGGTGCTTCTTCAGATTCTCTTGCCAGATGAGGGGCTCTGGCACTCATTAGAGTTAGGCTTTCTTAGTAAGGGCACACCTTGCGGCTCCCTCCCTAGATAAGTTCCCCCCATCGGACACAGTCTTTTTCTCAAGTGCTAGATATTTTACTCAGGCTTTTTTTAAAAAAAACTATTTTAGTCCCTTTAGACTTTACCCTTATTTATCCTCTACTATTTGTTTTAATTAGTGCTATTGTGCATGATATAATTCTATTTTATAATGCTTTTAATAATATAGGACCATGGGCTTTTGGTAGTATTTTAAAACCGTAAGGTTTTAAATGACAGTAATTATTTTGGTTCATCGCCCAATCAACCAGATTTTCAGATTGATTTTGGCATTTTTATCTACCTACTGAATCCTATTATTATTTCTTTTATTCATTAAACATGAAACTCAGTCAACTGAACATTTAAAGATATGTCACAAATACCATTGACTGGTGCTAATGGTTAATATGGGTTGCTGCCAGCGTCTTAGGTATCAACCAAGTATTTTCTTAAAATATATGATGTTCCTAGTAGCACAGTTTTTTGCAGTTCCACTGGTGTTATTGCAGGAAGCTGCAATTGTTGTTGTTGTTGTTGTTGTTGTTGTTGTTATAGCTCAAGAAAATAAATTACATTGTTTTAGTTAGTCCAGAATGTACTATTGGGTCAGATTATATTATACCAATATACAAAGGATCTGAATATAAATGCTCTGAATTATTGTGTAGGAATTATAATTAACCTAAGTTTTCTTAAGAAAAGAGGATCATAGCTTTAAGTCAACACATCTAGAAAGCTCCAAATTGTGAAAAACTCTTTATGATTTTACTTACAATGTAATTAAACATGCATATCAATAGCTGGGCAATATATTTGCTTCTTATCATTTTGGTTTTCCAAGATTAAGTAGCAAATCATTATATTTTCAAAGAACAATTTAATTTTTAAACTGTTTAATAACTATGACACCAACCTTGGTGGGAGGATCTCCACTGGACATGTCCTTTGTATCCATCTCCTGTAAAGAAAGTGAGAGCTTTTTCCTTTTTCTATGAAGTTTCCCACTGGTAATATTCTAACTCAAGGGTGTCAAACTGATGGCCGGTGGGCTGGTTGCATCACATGCAGGCCACACCCACCCAAGCTCTGCAAATGGGAAAAATGTCATGAAACATCACGTGACGGCAACGTGATGTGGCGAGTTTGACAGCCATGTATCTAGCTTGAAAGCTGCAGCCACTCAAAGTTCGATGTTCAGCTACCAATGTCACTGCAAAAGCCGGAAACAAAACCACCGAATAATCCTAAAAAAGGATTCTGGATCATTTTTAAGCTCATAGGGATGAGAAAAACTGCAGCAATATCGTTCATGGATTGTCCATATTGTGAATTGTCATTACATTTTTTGTCCCTATTTAAAGTCAGCAAAAATGTAATTTTTGCCTATGAATTCCTTCTTGTTCGGATAAAACACCTCTGGGAAATAAAATAGTTAATGAAAACAATTCACAATTATGGAAAATATTCTGAATATAAAATTAATGTTCAGACACCAAAAATAGTTGGTACTAGATTTTATTTTAGATGGCTTCTCTAAAGCTTCATGCAGCCTGCTTCTTTGAGTTAGATACAAAAGACACTCTGTGGCAATGGAGATTTTAACTGAAGATTCCTATCGAACATTTCAGTCACATTTTGTTTCAAAAGCAATATGAGGTACTTGCAGAAGAGATACAAGAGCAAGAGTTATAGACTTACATACTGCTTCACAGCGCTTTACAGCCCTCTCTAAGCGGTTTACAGAGTCAGCTTATTGCCCCCAACAATCTGGGTCCTCATTTTACCGACCTCAGAAGGATAGAAGGCTGAGTCAACCTTGAGCCAGTCAGAATTGAACTCCTGGCAGTGAGCAATGAGTTAGCCTGCAATATTGCATTTTTGCAATGAGATACAGATCACACTGCAACCTCAAATTAAAACTCCCTTCCTCACTGATGGTAGATGCACCCTTTGCATCCACTAAAAACAGAATAGATTTGAATGCATTTGTCAAAGTGAAGACGATGGGCAAACAATTTACATCTTTCCACAAATATTATGGAAAGTTGGAAAATAAAGCAGGAGTTTTTTGCTATTACTGAAAGCTTTTTTGCAAACTATCTTAGGTTCAGTCTTGCATGGGATGATTTCATTTATTTTGATTAAATAATTTATAGGCTGCTCACCTCTTAGACAACTCTGGGCAGCTCACGACTAAAAACACGTAACTCATATAACCGACCCGAAGAGCAAAATGCCAAAAACAAAGCCAAAACAGATCAGATCAAAATAAAATAAGAGTAAAACAAAAAGATGATCCACAATCATCCTGTCATCAGAGTCTGGGAGAAAAACAGATCCTCAATAATTTCCTAATGACATACAGATGGGAGCCACTCAAATCCTTCCTAAAGTTATCAGTATAACTTTGCCATGACTAACTTGCTCACTTTCACTGCCTCCTTCTATTTCTCTAAAAAGACCTAGCTCCATTATTCTCCAAGGTGTACTTACCTCATTGTGGAATGAACTGTCTTCTGCTTCCTCAATCAAGGAAGGTAGAAAAGCCAGGGAGCCTCGCTTTTTGGACTGTAGCATGCAGAGAAAGAAACCCCCAGTTATTATGGCAGCCCTTAAATATGTTCCACCTGAGAGGTAATAATGCATGCTTCTCAGAAATAGTAAGAAATAATCAAATTAAGTAGTTTTGTAGACAATATCTCATATAATGTAATAGGAATCTGTTTATTGTGCAATGTTTTTAGTCCTTCGGTTACAACACATTTTTCATATCCCTGCACTTGTTTGTTTTATAGCTATATTAAGTTGTTCTACGTTTTATTTAGCATCTATTTTATTGTGACAAAAACACAGGATGGAAGGGTTGGATGGGACCATGCATGTCATCTATTTCAATCCCACTCCCCAGGGAAGGAATTCACTCCTGCAAGGTTTCTCTTAAGTTATTTAATTAGCTAAGTTAGTCTCATGTATGTCTTAATAATATTTAGTGTTATCTATGGAGATCTATAACAAATATAAGTTTACATGGTGTTTCAGTTTCTTCAAAATAATATGAAATAATTATTCCAGAATATATATATTTATCTGTAGATGTATATGTTTCATATTGGTTATCTCAGAATAACAATGATATAAACTGATGGTTTAAAATCCCACTGCATTTCTGACAAAATGTAAATGTAATGGCAATGTATTCCTACTATAAACCTAAAATATCAATTTATAAAAATCCCTATGCCACTGCCTTAAAGGCATTCAAATTATTGTCTGATATTGAATTATTAATACATATTTTATTAGAAAGTTACCTTTCTTCTCCCAAGTATTAAGTTATAGCTTTTATATAATGATGATGGATTAATTTTTCTGATTTTCAGCACTGTCATTTGATATATATTCTGATCTTTTCTTTACAGAATTCATTTTAAAAAAAAAACTATTATATAATCTGTCTCATATTCTGGCTTGGTTCCTTTTCAAAAATTTAAATGTAGTCCTATTTCTAGCATAGAAAGTTGCAAGACATATTTGGAAGATGCTGAGATGAAATAAAAATTCTGAAGTACTATTTTCACAATATATTTACACTCTGGAATAATCCCAGTTTGGAAATAACATCTCACAGATCATGCACCCAGCCCCATATACGTATTTTATAATTTATGAGTTAATGTGGATATTAATATTTTGAATCATCTTATTGCCAATCAAGTTTTCAATGACTTGAATAATTGCAAAAAAAACCGAAAAACCCAAAAAACTATTACTTCAGTCCTTAAATATGGATTGGCTAAAACAATCTATGAATGATTATGAATATTTCTAATTAGTTTGTTCATTTCAGTGATTAAAAATAAAGCAGTATGCAGTGAATGGTTTCTGGTTAGATTAAACGCTGTCCATATACTCTGCTAGCAGATAGCAGCCTAATGTTGGCCTCTGCAATAGGCAAAATTTCACAAAAAGTGAGGCTGAACTGTGAATGGTCATAGAACATCAAATGGGGAGTGGCTGAAAAAAGTTATCTTTGTTACATGAAGATATATATATTGAATTACAATTGAAAAATCTGGGCCCTATAATCTCTCCTAATACATATATACTGATTTTGGGCAGTATCACTGCGTAAAGTAAGATTTTCATTTCTTTTGAGTTAGTTTTTTAAAAAGCCTTCATTTTCTAACAAACTGAAAATAATTTTGAAACTGTTCATTAGAATATAATTTTTAAATTCAAAATTAATGTATTTCTAAATGCTGAATACTGATGTGTAGGGGTTTTTCTTTCTGATTTTCCACAGCAAGAAACAGTGTTGATGATACATTTATCCCTATCTTTCAGACAATGATGTAGTATATACAAAAGAAAACGCACAATGAAATGACATCGTGACAGACAGGAACTTCTGCCACACCTTCTGAGGATAAAATCAACAAAAGGATACCTTTTTTGTGTCCACCCTGTATCTTTGGACATTATTACCCCTAGCTAAAAATATTCTAACACTACATACATATGTGCACACACACACACACACACACACACACACACACACACACGCATGCACGCACGCACATGAATAGACACATGCACGCACACACACACTCATACATTCCATATTTTTCGGAGTATAAGACACACCTTTTTCCTCAAAAAAGAGGCTGAAAAATCTGAGTGCATTTTATACACCGAATACCCCGCCCCTTCACCAAAATGGCCATGCATACCCTTATGGAGGCTTTTGGAGAGCTCGTGGGGGCTGGGGAGGGCAGAAATGAGCAAAAAATGGACCGTTTTTTGCCCCACCAGCCCCCAGCAGCACTCTATAAGCCTCCATAAGGCTATGCATGCAATTTTTTTTGACAAAAACAGACCCGTTTTCGTGAAAAATGGGCCATTTTTTGCTCATTTTTTGCCCCTCTATCCCCCCAGGAGCACTCTGCAAGCTCCCCAATGCTATTCATGCCTTTTTTGGAAAAAAAACAGGCCCATTTTTGGAAAGCTCTTTAACTGATTGATGAGAATTGCATTGACCAAGTGCTGTGCCAGCAGAAAGACCTGCCTATCTACTGTATTTCTCTCCATCTCTATGTCTCTCTCTCTCTCTCTCCCTCTACCCATCTACCTACACACATGCTCTCTATCTCTCCCTCTTTACCTACTGTACTTCTCTCTCTTTCTCTCTCTCTCTCTCTCTCTCCTTTTCTCTACCTACCTACTCTCTCTCTCCCTACCTTTATATTTCTCTCTCTCTTTCTATTTCTCTCTATCCCCCTACCTACTTACCTATCTACATACATACTCTCTCTCTATTTCTCTCTCTCTCTATCCTTTTATCTACCTACCTACCTACCTACCTACCTAACTACTCTCTCTCTCCCTACTTACCTACTGTATTTCTCTTTCTCTCCTTTTCTATCCCTCTATCTATCTACCTACTTTTTTTAAAAAAAATGCCTCTTCAAAACCTTGGTGTCTTATACTCTGAAAAATATGGTACATACATATCATATTTCTATGAAACCATTTGAAGGAACTTACCTGCAACTCAACAGCACTTCCATTTTCCTCTGGTGATTCTACGTCACTGTCCTCAGCTTCTGGTGGTTCTTGATTCTGATGAAGTTCCACCAAGGCATTCTTCATAGCTGTTAGAATATCCTCTTTCTGTTGGCATAATAGGGCAATCTGTTGCTTTACTCTTTCCACCTCCTCATCCTACGGAACAATAATATTGAGACATGACGTATCTCATAAAAATGGGAACATGAAGGAAAATTGTGAACAGCTTGAGGCGTCTTACTGTAGCATGATTTACATGATTGTCTTTGGGTGCCTTTTTTGCACTAAAGCATTTCCTTAGCAGAGCTGAAAACCAAGCCAAGCGACCCAATACAAAACGTAAAGCCTGCTGGAGCTGTATGAAGCCAGCCATAGCTTAGAGGAACATTTGGAAACTGAACAGCACTCTGAACATTCATAGCTGTCTGCCTGAATTTGGGAGCTGAATTCCTGAAGGGCAAGTGGTCAGGAGTTCTTGTGTGACAGATAGCATGGAGTTTACTCATAATACTATGCAAAGTAGGTTAATTAAGACAGAAGCATCACTTCCTGCCTCTCTGGAAGAGCTTTTTCTTTTCTCATAACATTTTTCCTATTTCAAGTAAGAAAAGCTGGAAAATTAGCAAAAGTTAATTGTTTTCATACAAGACCACAAAAACATATCCTAATACAATACAGGTAACCCTTCCACTCCTTCTCTGTGCTGGCAACCTTGCCAAAGATTGTTTGCATAAGGTGGATATCCTTCAACTTAACAAAGGAGTAATGAAATTATCCACTTTAATTAGGGCTGTATGCTATCCATATTACAGGAAGATTTGCTAGTGTCAGTGTAATTTGAGGGTGAAAAGAATTCCCAATGAGCACAATTTTAATGGATTGGCAGGATATAGATTTAGCACATAGGTCACATGAACTAGTTGTAATTTGGTGTTTCTATCTCTCAGCTTCAAAATGTTTGGGCTATTCTTTTTCATTTCAATGTATTATTTCCATTTCTTACACATGTCAGTATGAAATAACAGGACCATCTACAGGGTTGTGAGTCATGCTATTTAATGAATAAAGATACTTGGATTTGCTTGAAGTTGGCATTCAACTTAGCAGTCCCAAGTGAGTTGCCTGAGGCATAGTCTTGTTCAATTATCTACATTGACTCTTGTGACTCCTGAGGAAGTAGACCTAGTCCCACAACTGCCAGCTCAGCAACTTGTTTGCCAAACCTTGGCTCCTTGGGGGTAGCTTGGGGGGCAATTGGAAGATGGATCTTCAAAGGAGCAGGAAATGGGGTCCCTCTGGCCTTGAAGAAGACAGTGATGCATCTCCTTCTCAAAGGATCATTGTTGGAATCCTCTATCCTGGTTAATTATCATTTAGTTCCCAGTTTTCCCTTTGTGGAAATTGTTGTGGAGAAATTGATCAAATGGCAGGTATATACATAGGCTCTTGAAGGAAAAGAATTATCTAGACCTGATTCAGTAAGATTTTGGACCAAGGTAAAGCATGAAGATAATCTTAGTTGGCTTATCAGTTACTGTTGGCAGATTCACATGGGGAATGGTACATCCATCCTTGTGCTCCTTGATCTTTCAGTGGCTTCTGAAACCATTACCCATGGGTGTCAAGAATGTGGGGCACTATATTGCAGTGGATCACCTCCTTCTTCTGTGGTCATTTCCAATCAGAGTTGACAAGAGGGAAGAGATCAGGCTTGTGAATATCTCATGGCCAGGATAAAGGTAATAAAATAGCAGGTGTCAAAGGTAATAGGAAGAGGATACATTCATGGGTCTCCCCTCAACTCCCCAATTGAATGGCAGGGGTGTGGTGGCTCAGTGGCTGAAACACTGAGCTTGCCGATCAGAAAGGTTGGCAGTTCAGTGGTTCGAATCCCTAGCGCCGCGCAACAGAGTTAGCTCGCATTACTTGTTCCAGCTTCTACCAACCTAGCAGTTCAAAAGCATGTAAAAGTGCAAGCAGAAAAAATAGGAACCACTTTGGTGGGAAGGTAACAGCGTTCCATGCGCCTTTGGCATTTAGTCATGCCAGACACATGACAACAGAGACGTCTTTGGACAGCACTGGCTCTTTGGCTTTGAAACGGAGATGAGCACTGCCCCCTAGAGTCAGGAACGACTAGCACATATGTGCCAGGGGAACCTTTACCATATCACTTTAGGAATCCAACAACAACACTCTCCCCCATTATTGTTTAATATCAACATGAAGTTGCTGGTTGAGGTTATGTGTAGGGTGTCACATGATACAACACTTCCCCATACTACTGGTTAACATCTACATGAAGCTAACTCATGAAGTGAGTTCATCTGTTACTTGGGGTTGGTTTCATTATTACATGACGACAGACAAATATGCATCTCAACTGTGGGCTATGCAAATGAAACTGTCACCATACTAACTCAGTATCTGGAGACTGTTAAGTGAAGAATATGGATGAACAAACTCCAGCTCAATCCTTATAAGACTCAGTAATTACGGCTGTGATTGTTTGCCCCCCCCCCCGATTGATGATGTAATTTAATTATTCATGTATTAATTTTACATGGCTGCCCATCTCATGGGAAGTCATTGTGACCAGCATCACAGTCCAGCAGAGGCATGGATCTAAAAAGCAGGTGTCTAATCTCACAGTCTTAAGGATCTTGTCCACTTCTTCAGGTCCAACAGGGTCAAACCATTCCCAGATAACCTGGCAAGGGTCCTCTCCATGCATCTCCTCTACCCCTGCAGTAAAATTGGATCCATCTGGGAAGAACTCCAAGCAATTTTATGTGGACAGTCTTCAAGGTGATGGTCCTCATATCTTCTTGGAGGAATAGCATCCTCCAAGAGATATGTATGGTATTCACTCATTTAGGATTCTGCAAAGCTCTTACGATCTGTCTCTGTTCTCAGGCCTGGGGCTGGCATATTAGTGGAGCCCCTTGCATATTTTTGGTTATTATGGTTGCTTTTCTCTAAGATATTATACTCTGTTATGTTTTAATTGTGTTTTGGATGTTGTAAGACATTCAGTGGGGCAGCTATAATCAATCTAAATAATAATTTCATATCTGTATAGCTTAGCAGGGTTCCAATAGTATGGTTCCAAATGGCTGTCCTACGTGAATGAGTATATTAGAATTGTGCAAAGATCAGGTCTATTTAGAAAAGTCCCATGTTATTTCCTAAAATGGACACTCCAGGTAAGAGGAATTCAGTTCCCCAAATTTGCAGCAATGGCTACTCTGAATTGAATTTCTGAGAGCTGGGGCGTCTTGAGTTGTAGAAATTTTTAATCAATTCTGTAAGCACTCCCCAAACTTCAGAAAGGCTTAATTTAACATATTTATGGGTTTCATCCAAACATAAGTTTTGGTGGATTCCTATTTTTCCAAACTCTATATTCTGTTTCAGCAGTTTGAGCTCCATCACAGCAAAAATGATCTATCCCACTTTTCTTAGCTTTTTTTAAAAAGTGACTGAGTGCACAAGGCTACCTGGCAGATTTTTTATTTATTTTTGCATTACATTCTCTATAGTTGACTTCTCTGATTAGAAAATTTTCACCTCTTCTGGAGCCACCTTTTTGTTTATACTTTTAGTCTCAATATAATTAAGCTCTGACAAGCTAAGAAAATCTTAAAGCAATTAGCACTTTGGGCGGCGCCAGCTAATTCATATGACTAACCTAGAAGAGCATTCTGAAACAACCATTGAATATACTATGGCAAATCACAAGCACGTATTTTCCATAAAGGTTAGGCATAAAAAAGAAAGCATGACATTACGGATGCATAAATTCACTTGCGACTAAATAAGTGAAACAAACAATACGAGGTGAGTCTATTCAAACAGGAGGATACAAGTATGGTTTCTTGTCCAACTCTATCTCCCCAAACAGGAGCAATGTATGATTTTAAGCTCTAAATGAAAGTAATAGATAATAAAGCAAGGAGACTAGTAATAGGATTTGTATTTTGATAAACAGAATAGTAAAAATTACATTAACATCTAGCATTTTGTAGTGAAGGGGAAAACAAACATCACAACGGGACCAGAAAAAGTTAACCGATCAAATTTTACCTTGCCAATGTAGACACTGAGGTCAGAAAACTCCAAGAAAGTCAAAATCTGAATGATCAATAAAAATCAGGAAGGTTTCCCCTCTCTCAAGTGAACTTTTAAAAAGGGGTGGAGGCAGCTCCACTTTGCTTTTCTCTTTTGTCTTTCATCACAATAAGACACCTGGCCTCCTAATATGGCACTATCAGTTAAAAACTGGAGGAAGCAGCCATTTAATGAAACTCAGACAGAGTTATGACCTAAGAGCTTTTAAAAATGTATGTCAATGATCTATCCCATTTCTTTATATTATACGTTGTTCTACTTGTATGGAATATTCCTGCCTGGGAGTCAATCTGAGAGTCAAAGTCCAGAAAATGTATGAAAATTCCTTTCTCCAATTTTTCCTCCACTTTCAGCTCCTTAACTTTACATTACATAATAATACCTTCTTCTGAACTCTGTAGACATTCTGGCAGGGAATTTAGCCTGCCACACAACTTAGTCACTCTGCTACCTACAAAAAGACAAGAAGATAGAAAGAAGGAATTTTGGCTTATTTCCTCCTGAGAAAATATGAAGAGAAGAAATATTTCCGAGAAGAGTGATGTGGTGACAGCACACGGAAACCCAAGCCCAGAATGTGGCAAGCTGCAATAGTAAGGACTGCGAGTGCAGGACTTAAGTCTTATCCCTCGAGTGAAGCAGTGGGGCCAAGCTACATCATCCCTGTGCATGTATAAACAAGCATGCTCTTCACTACCTGTCTGTATATTGAATCAGGGATATGTCATCATGTTCAGAAAAAATGCTATAATTATATTCTGAGTAGTACACTACTTAGAATCCCACTTTGCAAAAATAACAGAGCCATGAAGAGAAGTACAGAAATACATTTATAGGTAGTACTTGAGTTTACAGCCACTATTGAGGCGAAAATTTCCATTGCTAAGCCAACAGCCTTTAAGTGAATTTGGCCCATTCTATGACCTTCTTTGCCACTGTTGTTAAGCGAATCACTGCAGTTGTTAAGTTAGTAACACGGTTGTTAAGTGAATCTGGTTTCCCCATTGACTTTTCTTTTCAGAAGGCCATGAAAGGTGATCACATGACCCCAGGCATGGCCATGGCAACTGTCATAAATACATGTCAGTTGCTAAGTGTCCAAATTTTGATCATGTGGCCATGGGGATCTGCAACAGTCATAAGTGTGAAAATTGATCATAAGTCACTATGTTGTGCCATTGTAACTTAGAACAGTCACTAGATGAATGGTTATAAATTAAGGACTACCTGTAATTATTTATTAGATTTTTCTTCTGCCTTTATTACTTTATAAGTAATTCAATGTACTGAACATGAGCAGCATTGAATTTTAGCCACTCAGAAGGTTGAGAATTCAATCCTAGGTAGTGGCAGATATTTCTCTCCTAGAACACACATGCTCACAAATCTTCTGTGAGCTCTGAATGGCATTAGGAAGGGCACCCAGCCAGTAAATGCTCAGCTCCATCCAGTCTCCCTGATTTTACTTTGAATTAAGAGATTAGGGTCATAAAAAGGGAGTTTTCATGCAATGAACACACATAATGCTCCTTGCATTTTCCCCATAACAACAAACCTGTGTGGTGAGTTTAGCTGAGAGAATGACTGACCCAAAGTCATGTAACTGGCTTCATACCTAAAATAGGAAGACACGACTAAAACTCACTGTCTCCTGGTTCCTAGGCCAGCACCTTAACCACTACAACAAACTGGCTCTCAGTGATAAATTATAGTTATTGCATTTAAATTTAAATATTTCATGGGAATTTATTATAGCCGCCCACTCCAACTGACTCTGGGCAATTTATATAATCCAAATTTTCCTAGTTTTTAAATTAAAAAATAATTTAAAGATTATTATTTATATAATTAATATTGTTATTCTTGTGCCATGCTAGGAAATCAAATTCAGAACAAATGTAGAAGAGATTTTGGATCCTGTACCCACGGTTCTAGGGAAGCAAGAACATGATTCAATATATACACACACACAAAAGATATCCCCCTCTATTTCATAATAGTTGTCTATTGTAAATAAAGCATGGCATGCGATGTAAGTTATAAAGCTCACCTTGAGGAAAGTGGAGTCTTGAACAGGCCACAGATTTTCCGTGGACAATTCATCTAAAGTACTCTTTGGGAATTGGCTTTGCTTTAGGAATTCAATTTGTTGCTCGAATTCTTCCATCTCTTTTACAATTGGCTAAAATAAAATACCAGCAATTACTATGAGCTGTTTCAAGGTGGATAATGGAACATATATTCTAATAAGGTATTAATCCTCACATTCAGATTCTAATTTCAATTGGATATACATATACTGTACATATGAAAATATTTTCCTAGTGAGTGGGAACATTGATTCATTTAATCCAACTACTTCAATAGTGTTTCTCTGGTTTTCAGAAGATAAAAATAGTAGATATTTGTAGGAGGATTTGTTTTTCTTTATAAAAATTAATAGATAATATATTTTCTTCATTCTTTGGCTATCTACTCCTAATTTTCTGCTCTCACATTTTTGCTATTGCTATCTTGAACATGGAGCAAAATAAGGTATTCCTCACTCAACAACTGCCTTTTGGGGGATTGTTTGCAGTTGTGACCACAATAAAAATGTAGTTTTGTGACCAGTCCTCATATTTATGACCTTTGAAGGTTTGTAAAGCAAAGCAAAGCAAAGCAAAGCTGAAGTAAGGTCAGAAACACAGCCATGGTTTGTCTTAGTGACTGCTTTACTTAATGACCAAGTTGCCAGTCCACATTGCTAAATGTGGACTACCTGTATTTAGGTAGAAGAAACAGTCTGGCTGAATTCACACAATACTGTACCACCTGATTAAACAACTGATATATTTTGCCATACTTTGGGGTGGTACATAGAGCAGTCTTAGGAAAACAGTAACCTTGTTTTCTTAAAGCAGTAAATTTGTTTTCCTAAAATGCTGAGTAGTAAACAAGCAGTAAAAAGATGTTGCTCTGCTTGTAGGGAGAGCATGTAAATACATTCAAGTTTATTATTATTGGAGTTTGATTATTATTTCTACTTTATTTTTGCATCATTTGGAAGCTTCTGAGAACTATTTGGGAATAGTCTAACTAAATTGCAATAAGAAAGAAACAATCAGGCTGCTTGCACATTGTTAATATTATATTAACATATGCTCGTTTCAATCGAATGCATAAATAATAGGCAAAAATGATTTCCATCCATGTGTCATTAAAAGATCACTGGGTTTTAATCACTAGATTACTCAGTCAATGATATTTGTATAGCGGCGCATGTGAGCAAAAGGAATCAGATATAAATTTTAAGTTGCTTTAATATATTCAGAGCATTTCAGATCATGGATGTTATGGTTTGTGCTTGATGATAATTGATTAACTATTGCAGTTGATGAGACTGAGTTCCTACAAGCTAATTAAAAAAACAAGATATTTCCCGTGTCCTGTGCCTTAAATAATCAACCAAACCAGATGCATAAGATTCAAGAACTAGCTTCTCCATGTGTTATGATCTTAATCAGAAAACAAATAATTAAAAATCAGAAGGTATTTTCCAAGAACATCCACAAATAACCACTCAATCAAATTTGCTTTTACCTCAAGTAGAGTGTTCTGTTTCTCTGTGAGTCTTTCTAGAACCTTCAGCTCTTTCAAAAGCTGTTTAGTTCTTTGGAATACTGAAAGAGGTTGCATTCTCATGTCAGTCAATCTCAATTTTGCTTTATAGGATTGCATTTCAGCCAAAGCCTTCTTCATGGGGCAGATGTGGGCCAATATAACCTAAAATAGAATGTATTAACAAGGAAGGGAAAGAAATATGTAAGACTCAGCAGGCTTATAGCACTTTGGGAAATTCAGATATTTATGTTCAAAATACTTCACATATTTGATCTCAGAAAAATCTGGGACAGCATGATTTTCAAAATACCTCAGATGGAATCTAGAATTGCACCCATTTGTATTTATCTTTCACTTTCCTCCCTACTATATACATCTCCAAAATTAATTTCGGAAATAACTTCCTGGTCATGGAAATGGTGACCTAATGTGTTGCTTTGAACCAGGAACATTAGTGACAGAATCCTTTCTTCTTCCTCTCAGGAGAATTTGTTGGCTCAAAATCTGTAACACTAAACCATCTTCCCCACAATGTAAATGACCGCTGAAATGAAAGAGCCCCATATTTGGCTAGATAAAGCTGCTATCTCTACCTTGGGTCTTGGCTTAAAGCACATCTTGCTTTGGGCCTGCTGAACTGTCCCAATTCTTGACTAAACACCTAATGAGCCACTATTTTCACTTGGCAGATGGGGGCTATTTGGCAGCTACAGGTGGAAGGTTAATGGCAGAAATTTATGGTGATGAGCCATTCAGAGTTAAAAGGCAGTTTTTAAAAATATTATAGCACTGACATAAAGGAGCAGCAAAAAAAGGAAAAAGAAAAAAAGAAAACTCCATCATTACATTTTCAAAAGTTTGGGAATACTTCAAGAATACCAATATTTAGAAATACCTGGCTTCTAATCCAGCACTATACAGTATATATTACACTACAATTGCTCCTATGTCGATTTTTCCAGTTCCTTTTTTGTACTTACCTTGCAATGTTTAAGATGCTCCTTAGGAGAAAAATCAAGTGTGTCTTCAGAGGGGAACAATATAGTCTTTATTTTTTCTATATCCTTCTCCATTGTTTTCACTTCAGATTCAATAGCTTCAACATCCTGCATTTTCAGAAGCAATCATAGTACTTATTCGCTGCTGAAGTCTCTTAAATGCAAGAGACATAGAAAGCCTACATTTTTATTTATATCCCAAAAGTCACACTCCCCTTGAGTGATACCTTATTAGCCAGTTGGTTGTATCCATTGTTCTTGAATGCCCTCATTAAATCAGGTGTCATTACAGCCAAACATTGTGATTCTCTTTTTTAATACTGAAAAACTGTCTTAATATATTGTATGTTATGAGAACCAAAAGGACACTATCAAATTTGCTTCTGATCCAAACTAGAATTATATGAAGCCAAACCAGGTGATGCTGAATGAATTACAGCTTTGCTCTTATAAAAGGATACCTTCACCCTCTATTTGCTGTTTTGCTGGTATTTCATTATTCTTTGGTCCCAAGTGTTTCTGACATACAGTATATACCGTATATAAATAATTCTATGCTGTTTTCTCTCCCAATAATATACCTGAAATAAATGCACAACCTTTCTTGCCTACCACTACCTCAGTTTATCTCATTCTTCTCTGGTTTTTCTCTTGCCCCACTATAGCAAAATTGTCTGATTAAGGCCTGTCTATATTGTATTCCAGTAAAAGTCATGCAAATAGGTGGCTAAATCATCAACATCAAGAACAGTATCTGAACTTTTCTAAATCAAACAGAAATCATTTTATTGATAGATAATCCACACTTACATCAGCCAAGTGCTGGATACATGGAAGAATTTCCATTATCTTTTGCTGTAAGGCTTTAACTTGCTCATTTACTTCTGTCAATTCCTGCACCGTACTGTCAGTTTCAATTAAAGGGGACAATTCTTTCAGTTCTGGGGAAATTGCACTAAGAATACTTTGCTTTTGTTCTGAATCTTCCAATGCCATCTAGAGAAGAAAAGTTAGTATTATTGATAAATTATTATCTTATTGAAGGTCTTATAGTTGGGAATATAGTATTATACTAATTGATACCAATTCATTTATGCACAAATTTTAAACTAATAAGCTAATTTCCATAGGTTGGAAATTAATTAAATAAGATTAATTAAGAAGAATTCAAAACCAAATTAAGCAGCAAACCAACAAGTATGGTTTGCTTGAAATACATAGGAAATAAGTACATAACTTGTGATTAAATGCCAGGGGAGTTCGGGCAGGAAATTACTTTAAATACCACCACCCAACTGGAAGTTTCCTGCATAAATTTATCAGGATGCCTCTATTTATGTCCATTTTTTCTTGAATATTAATGTATGTATGTATGTATGTATGTGTGTATATGTATACACACACACACACACACACACACACACACACACACACACATATATTTCCTGTTGTCAATGAATTACTGTCATTAAAACACATCTGAAATATTTGGAGGATAAGGTTTAGTTTCCCAAACTGTGCGCTATATATATAACCAAACCCCCTATGGATTCAATGAGGTTTACTTCTGACCTTATATGCATAGAAATGCTGTCATCTGCAGTACTATCTATATTTCTATATGTTATACAGCACAGGTACACACCTTATATTGAAGATAGCAGCATATGTAAAACATTTCCCCTCATATTGGCTTTCCCTCGTTAAATCTTTTTCCAATTTTTTTTTTAAATTTTCCTATTTAGCCTACTGCCTTGCTATTCCTTAGTGGCCTCTCACCAAAACGCTAACTAAATTGACCCTGTTTAGCTTCCTAAGTTTAGGCTAGCTGGATGCTACTACTTAGCCTAGCAGATGTACCTGTACTGGTCATTGTCAATGCAGCAACATATTGACACGTGCTCTCAAGGAGAAGCAATAAATTGCTCCCATCATTTAGTTGCATATCAATTTACCTCAAGCGCACTGGTATGTTTATTCAAAGTTTTTGCAGAGTCACTTTTCACTTCCTCTGTTAATAGGCGGCTGGTATTTTCAAGCCAAACCTGAATGCTTTTCAAGAGCTCATCGCATTCTTCCAACTTGCTAGCAGCCTTTAATATAAAATATCACATATTATTTTACACAAAATAATATACAGGTATCTGAAACATTGGCAGGTCATTCAGATTCCCAAGCAGATTTCCACTCATACAACAGAACCTTCTGATCAGTACCTCTGCAGCAATTTGTGCAGGAAGAGGGAGTGTAAAATAATGTTTATCTAATGACTTTTTTGTCAGTAGATAAATATCATAGGACCGTGATGGCGAACCTATGACGCGCGTGTCCGAAGTGGCATGAGGAGCCATGTTGCCTGGCATGTGCGGCATCACCCCTTCCTCTTCCGGATTTCTGCCGTGCATGCGCAGGCAACGATCAGCTGGCCTTTGTGCGTTCGGCAGTGCCAGAAACCAGAAGAGCTGGTCTTCCATTTTCCGGCGCAAGCATGCATGTCAGCCAGCTGAAGACTTGCTGGCCGGCAGGCATGTGCATGCCGGAAACCGGAAGTACTTTTTCTGGTGCATGTATGCTCCCTGGGCAGCTCCTCTTCATGGTCATGGTCCAGATGAGCGCCCGCACACACACTTAGCATGCACACCTCATCATGGTCATAGGATTATACTCATTGTAAATTGTTAATTAAATATTCTCAGGAAACAGCACGGCAGTTCAAAAATTAATTTTTAATTTCTGGTTTAAAATATAAGAAATAAGAAACAATAGGCATACAGTATATTAAAAATATGGAGAAGGTCTGGAAATAAAAGAGAATAACTAGTTATTCAGGGAACAGACATTTCTGCCTTTTTTATGTATATGATGTCTATTTTTGTTATTATTTTCAGGTGCATGAGGATTATTTTCTTTAAAGGAAGAAATAAGAAATAGAGTGGATCTCAGTTGTGTAACTACCATAGTTTTGTAGATAATGCCATATATTCAGAATTTAGCGAAGCAGTCACAACTTTGTGGAACTCTGTCAGGCCCTATGGAATTATATGCATGGAGAAATTCATCCTGTCAGCCACACTGACAGATGCATCCTTAAAATATGTTTGTGTGGTGCAATTGATAAAACTGAGATCAATACAGTCTGACTGGAAGCATCCAGATTTCAAACAAAAATGATATTTTCAGTCATGTTTTTACCCTGTTCAAGTCTGAAGTTCTACGCTCAGCATGCTGCGAAACATGTTGGTATTGTTGCACAGGTATCATCCATCGATCCATCAATTCTTGAGCCTGGTGGGGATCTTGCTCCACTATATCTTGAACCTCTGAATCCAGTTCATTCATTTTATAATGCCAAAGATCTAGCAAATCCCAGGTTCTCTTCAAGAAAGAGAAGCAAACAATGAATGAGCAAGGGTTCAGCTAGATGGCTGTTGCCTACTATAGGCATATTTTTTTTCTATTATAAAAAATAGCACTCTACTTCCATGTTTACACCTGGTTAAGACAAGTCTAGTTTAAACAAGTAGCTCTGAGGGCAGAATCAACGTCATTTGGGGAAAGAAAGCTTATTGCTTCATCTGGAGCAAAGAAGTTGATGTTACCTTCTGAACTTCTTTTGCTTTTTCAATGTTCTCGCTCTTTTGATGTAACATGCTTTCAACAGCTTGCAAACCTTTGTTAATGTCTTCTATTTTTTTCTCTGTCCTGTAGTGAGGGGAATTTTTCAGGAATTCTGTGCTGACCTATCATAGTAAAAAGAAAAGAAAGAAAAGTTCATCCCTGGGTGGGGAAAACAGAAAATAAACTTAAAAACTTAACTATTCGTTCTTTCATATTATGAATAACTCCCCACTCTACTTTAATTACCCTTTCTATATTTTAATTTTTAACATCTAGCTTAGATCTGTACATTGCCCTAGGGTGTAATAAAATTATTTGGTGGTACGAAAAGTGTAAGAGCCAATGGTTCTCAGGCCAGAGTTGGTAGTTATTTACACATTCAACTACCACTTATGTCAAGGCTAGCAATACCAGGCAAAAGAGGGTGTAATTTATGAGAAAGATTAGGAAAAAAAAGTATGTGTGTCACTATGGGTATAAGAGAACCTTATTTTCACTGATAGGGGTTGATTTGACTTCATTCCTATCCACAACAAAGGTTCTTATCTCAAAATGCTTGTAAGTTGTCTGCTTAGTCCTGATTTAGGAAGATAGTCTAGCCTTCTAAAGTCAGGATTTACAAATGTGCTGGAATAAACCAACCACAGTTGATGTTGATGTTGATTTTATTTATATGCTGCCCTTTTCCCCCGAAGGGGACTCAGGGCGGCTCACAACTCAACCAGGGAAGGGGGATACAAACAAGAATTTAAAATGACATAAACAACAATACATAATTAAAACACAACAGTCATATCAATTCAAGACGGGGGCAACAGTTCTTTAGCCCCAGGCCTGTCGGAACAGCCAGGTTTTAAGGGCTTTGCGGAAGGCCTGGAGGGTGGTGAGGGTTCGAATCTCCACGGGGAGTTCGTTCCAGAGGGTCGGAGCAGCCACAGAGAAGGCTCTCCTCTGAGTCACTGACCGGCAGATGGAATTCGGAGGAGGCCTAATCTGTGGGATCTAATCGGTCTACTGGAGGTAATTGGCAGCAGGCGGTCTCTCAAGTACCCAGGTCCAATACCATGAAGGGCTTTATCAGTGACGACTAGCGCCTTGAAGCGTATCCGGAGACCAATAGGCAGCCAGTGCAGCTCGCGGAGGATAGGTGTTACGTGGGTGTACCGAGGCGCACCCACGATCGCTCGTGCGGCTGCATTCTGGACAAGCTGAAGTTGCCGAATGCTCTTCAAGGGCTGCCCCATGTAGGGCACGTTGCAGTAGTCCAGTATCTTATGGTTTACAGAATTATCTGAGGATTTCTTCAAATACTGCCTAGCAGGTTAGTGAAAGGGATAGTGAGCAATAAAAGTTAAATGGAATTTGTTAGCATGCGAAACAAAAAACCCAAACATAATTTTCTGGAGAATAAACAATTAACTAGAATGAATCTGGACTTTCAGCAAGAGTTTCCCTAGTTTTACAATTAAGTAGGATGGTGCTACCTTTTCTTCCAGGTCATGTAACATTCTCTTGCAGTCTTCCAAATGCTCTTCAATACCAACTGGAACTATTCTATATATTTCAGTGAACTTGATTTGTAAGTTGTCTACGATTTGCTTCTTGCTGTCAACTACTCTCTGAATCCCCTAAGAGGAAAAAAGAATTAGAAAGTACTACAAGATTGGTTGGGGAAAATAATTTCTCCCACTATATCTAAGGTACAAATAGATTTTTTTTCCATGAGAAAGCTTTGCAGAGCAAAACCTGAAAACAAAACCTTATTTTGTTTTATATCATACTTTTCAATTCACTGAGACTACACTAAACCCAATATTTTTCATTGTATTGTCGGGGCTTATTGACAGATGAAATGCTAATGGAGACACAATGCTTGTTTGATTTAAGCTCCATAAAGAGCTTTTCAGATTCAGAACCAAAAGAAAAACAATCCTAAAAACAAAAGGTGACCAAAAGTACATTTGCTGGGCCATTTGTTTTGGTGTCATCTTAATGAAAATATCCAAACAAAACAGCTCCTTCCAGTTCTGCAGGAAGGATATCATTTTCACAGGATAAAACAAACTTGACAGTTGTTAATATTTGTGGCCTAGAAACTCAATCTGGTCTACATCCTCTGGCATGAATAACCGTGAAATATGTTTTGATGCCAAATAACTTGGATCTCTTGCTGAGAGATACATTTCATTTACAATTATTTGTTTTAATTCCAAGATATCAAAATATTGGATTTTGTTTCTTATTTCACAGCAAGAGAACAAATGTGAAAATAAAGAGTATGTGTAAGAACGGCAAAGAAACTAAATTTGGTTAAATGTTGGAAGAAGTTTCTTAATAGGGAAAGGTATTTGTGGAACAGATTACCTCTGTAAATAGTATTGTCTATTGATTGGCTGGATAACCAAAAGGAAAGAGTCATTTATCGATTTCTGGACTATGTGAAGGTTTAGATTACACCACCTTCAAAAATCTGTTCCAAAGCTAGCATTCTCTCACTCTTTAAATACCCCTTTCAATGTTCTTTCATCTATGGCATATTTGGTCATCTAAATAAGCCATACATGAAAGCTTTCCAAATGCAATGGAAAAGAAACTCTACAGGATTCCTTTTCTGGTTAGATGTGTATGGATGACAGCATCTGGATACCATGTTTGTCAAGCAGTTAAATGTAGAAGGAAAAAAAGAACAACGTAATTCTAATAATTATGACTTAGTATTGAAAGGACCAGAGATCAATGATATACCACTTTGCAACTCAAGAATTGGACACAAAGTATTTCATTTATCTAAAACTTATTAGTCTACTATCTACAGAAGCAGCTTCTTACCAACCTCAAGTTTCAATGCCTTTTCATTGGGGGTTTCCAAATCTATGTCACGGAGTTGGGATATGATGTCCTGAAATGAAGTCTTCATAGCTTTCAATTCTTCACTGCTTTTGGTCCGGTATATCATCTCAGACTGCACAGCCTCTTTTTCTGTTTCAGCTTTTTGACAGAGCCTAAATAAATTCCATTAGAAATACTATTAAGAAGAAGTAGAAGAAGATTGCAGGTTCTGGTGTTTTGGAGGTCCTTAAAGATCTGAATCTTCCCCCAGGTTTTCAGCTAGGAAGGATGCAGCCCGTTTTTAGGTTTTTCTATGTTTGCATGCTCCCTTTGTTTATTTTTTATTATTATTTTTATTGTGTTACAGTTTTTCTGTTTTCTTGTGAACAGCCCAGAGTTGTTAGGAATTAAGAGATGTACAAATTTAATAAATGAGTTAATAAGTGAATGAATGGCCTGTTATGTCCAAATAAGGGGCCAGAAATTACAGCAACTCTAAGACTTCTATCAATTCTCTTTCATTAACCTGAATAGAATAAGCAAAAACAAAATTCAAGTGAAATGCAAAGCAAAGTGGTGGGGTTTAGAAAGTATCAGTACTAGCATCACATGAAACAACAATACAATAGTTAATAAAACAATGCATTTAAAACTTGGGTGTAAACAGATATTAAAATATTTCTCCAGCATTGATCTTGGGTAAAGAAGTAAATCCTTGTTTTGTTTTGTTTTGTTTACAAATACCACTCTCTGTCTGGAATTTATGTATATTTGCCAGATAATCTGGAGCTCAAACTTCAAATTAGTAAAAAAAACAAAAAACCATTAGAATGCATTTTGAAATCAGAATTAAACTTTGTACAAAATGTTGTGTGAATTAACTCAGCAATAGTCTGTTTTACACTTACTCTTCTGTTCGTTGCTGCATGTTTTGAATTTCGCAGACAATAGGAAGGCTTTCCTTTCCAGACAAACTCCCAGGGACACTCAGAATGTCCCTTAATCGGCAGAGTATTAAGCGTAGCAACAATTTCTCAGTATCCACATTTTCTATATAATTGTTTGTGGATTCCAGAAATTCTTCCAGTTCTTCTTTGGTTGCTTGCTGTTTGTCTTGGAGGCTCTCAGGCAGCTCTTCTTGAAGACTGTCTAGAATGATTGTTTCTCGTTCCAACTAGAGAGAAAATAAGCAAAACACAAATAAGAGAAACATTGATGAGGGAGCTTATACATGGAAAAGACGTCTAAGTAGATAGAAGTTGCACTTCTATACACACTTATCTGGAAATAAATTCCTCTTAATACAGGGGACTTATTTTTTATAAATATCTGCAGGATTGTTCTTATCAATGTATTCATTTTATGTAAGAAATATAATAGTAAGGGCTTTAATATATTCCTTTTGTTTAAAATGAGAGCATAAAAATGGCAGCTGCAACTACAAGCTGCAAAATGAAATGCTTGTGCATTTCAGCCACTTGATTCCAAATCCCCAACAACAATGTGTATTATTTACTTATAGCCACTGAACCTATAACCATTCAGCTTCATTGGATAACGCCCAGATTCCAGTAAGAGAAATTAACCTTGATATTTTCTCCACACCATGCATGATTTTGTGTATAGGTAGTCCTTGTTCATCAATCAATTATTCATGACCATTTAAACTTACAACAGTGCTCAACAAGGAGCCATGTTCATGCACTGGTTAGAATGTAGTATTGCAAGCTAACTATGCCCACAGCCAGGAGTTCAATCTTGCCTGCTCAAGGTTGACTCAGCTTTCATCCTTAGTAAAATGAGGACCCAGATTGTTGGAGGAATATGCTGACATTTGTAAACAGCTCAGAGAGTGCTGTAAAGCACTATGGAGCAGTATATAAATCTAAGTCTAAGGGGACTTACAATTATTCCTCCTACTTGTGGCCCTCACAGTGGCCCTGCTGTCATGTGACTTGTGATTTGGATCCTTACAATCAACTCTCATTGCAATAATTGTGGCATCTTGTGGTCATGTGATCCCCAACTGTGACTTTCACTACAAGTCCAACAAGCAATGTCAATGGGGAAGCCAGCAGGAGGTTGCAAATGGCAATCACATGACTGCAGAGTGCTGCAACTGCACAATATTTATTTAATGACAGCAACTGGAACAGTGATGAGGTTTTCAGTCCCAATTGCATTGTTAAGTGACGATTATCTGTATTACTACCCTTCTGCCCTCTATTCATTTTTATGTGACAAACTGGACAGTTTTATCTTTTTAAACCTGCCTGTACTTAAGACAATCAAACGTCCACATACAACTGAGCTTGAAAACATCAGTCTTGTGTTCCCCTATTACTCACTTCTTCACTGACAGATTTCCATTCTTGGTTCTGTTCTTCACATTTGCCTTCCCGTTCTTTTGCGATATTGAACAAACAGAGCCACTTCAGCCACAACATTGATACAATGGGTACAATCAACACGCCATCATTTTCTTTGCACATCAAGCTTAGAGACTGTGAATCTCGCCTTAACTTCATTAGCTCCTCTTTGGTTGATAGTAATTGGGACAACAGCATCTATAAAGGAGAAAGAGTAAAATATAAACAGTGAGTTGCAATCATCCAGTTGGGAAAAAGGCAGAGTACAAAAACAAATTGTGACAATCTAGCCAAAGTATCTCAAGTACCCATAATAAGCAGCAAATCTATATCTAAAATTGTACACTTCACAGCAAGGAAGGAGTTACCAAAAAGTCTGCTTCTTTGCAATCATCTGTTTCAAGTTTAATACAGATTTGCATCCATTACTCACATTTTGATCATAATGTCAGCTAACCTTTGAAGACTAACTTTAATAACTATTCGGAATATAAATTACTGTAATTGTTACAGCCTGTATGAAGTGCATTGAATTCTCTATTGTAAACACGGTTCTGAATACGTGCAAGCTATAAAAATACATAAAACATTAAATTATGATGATGATGATGATGATGATGATGATGATGATGATGATATGACGATGACGCAATCCTCACCTTGTTTTGTTCTGAATGCTCTAAAGATTCTTTGTAAGATACTGGAATGTAGTATAAACACTTCCAAAGCACTTTTTCTGCATTGTTAAGCTCAACACATATCCTCTCTTTGGAGTTTTTGAAACTGTGATATTTTTCCATATACCTATAGATGCAAGAGTATTTAAATAAAACTATTTAAATTGATCAAAATAATAGAATTATGCATTGTCAGCTTTCATCTATTGGTAGAAATAAAACTGGTACAAAGGAGAAAAATTGGCAGATCTTGCCAATCGTTTTACATAGTACTTTACATAAGAATGCACAAGAATTTCCAAACACACCATTTTAAGCTGGTGGGTTTTACTGAATCATGAGCAGGTGAGCATCACAGTAAAACTGTGACCAGCTATGAATTCCTTTTTGCCCTGAAGCTAATAGCTCAGTCATGATTTCTTAATTTTATCTCATCTCACTTCTCATTACAAAATATAATGTAATAAAAATGATGTAAACCCCTGCTTTTTTGGAGTACCCATGTCTTTAATTCTTTAGCAAAAGAACCACTGGCTGGTTGGCTATCAGGAATTTTACTAAGGAGTGCTATGTTTTATAGCACTTTGTCGCAGCTCTCAAAGTTTTCAATAATATTAAAAAATCAATCTACCATATTTTTCAGACTTTAAGATGCTCTGGAGTATAAGACACACCTTAGTTTTTGGGGAGAAAAATAATAATTAAAAACATTCTGCCTCTGCATCCACCGGCATGGTCTGCAGCCTACAAAAGCTCCATTTGAGAGGACATGCAGAGGCTGAAGGGTGGGAGCTGGCGGGTGGGCTACATTTGATGTATAAGATGCACCCAAATTTTCACCCTCTTTTAGGGGGAAAGTGTGTGTTATACTCCAAAAAATATGGTGTATTTTAAAATCAATACTATATGTTATTCATGAATGAAAGATGTTATTGCCTAGAAAGTAGCATTTCAGGCTAAAGCAGCCTAGATACTGTTCTGAGCCAGCTTTTCTACCTGCTTCCCCCTGACCATCCTAACCAAGAAGCTTATAAGGAGGTAATGTCCAGAAAACAGCTACCAAACGGACAATCACCTTCTGGGTGAAAGGGAAGATAACACTTAAAAATAGGAGGCAATAAAAGGGGCAGTGGCAGGAGATGATACTGCTATGTAGAAATTGTACATTGAGAACTAACATTGTTATACTGCATATCTGTGTTTTCAATGCAAGACATGTTCAGTATTTCAGTGGAAAAGGAAGCTGTAACATAAATGAGACAAATTGGGGAAAGTGTTGTAGCTCAAAGGACCAACACACATCTTCCATGCAGAACATGGTAAACTTTGATTTATAGCAAGTCCAGGTAAGGATGGTAAACCCTGGACTAATTATTCTCATCATTCACTCTAATAATCAGCAACAATATCAAGCTAGATGGATCAGTGCTCTGATTTGTATATCCCTGAAATGATGAAAATGTTCATCCTACCTCTGTATGTAAGATTTTCTCTTTTGGGTCTGTTCTTTTATTGTGAAATTCCTAGCAGTTAGATCATCAAGTACTTTCTCCACCTGCAGTTTGGCTTTTGATTTAATTGACTTTTTCAGAGTACCGGTTAATGCTTCTACTTCAGCCTTTGCAGACTCGGATTCTTCTTGTTTCTTGGCAAAGTCAAGATGAGATTCTTCTAGTTTAAGTAAATCAAGGAGTGGAGTAGAAAGAAATGCTTCACACTGACTGAGGAGATCTGCAGATTTTTCGACAGCTTTATTGTAAAGCTTCACCATTTTAAAAGCTTCATCTAAAGCTTCCTGTGCAGATAAATAATTAACAGCAATATTATTATATAAGCCAAGAAACAATTTTCTTCTCCCTAATGTTTCCTTGAATTACAGTTCCAAGGAAAAACATTGCAACCCTGATCTAACTCCATGTCTCTTACCCGGTGGACATTTTAACTCGGGTGTCAAACTTACGACAGCACGTTGTTGTCATGTGACGTATCACAACTTTATTCCCTTGCTAAAACAGGGATGGGGGGGCAGCATGTGATGCATGCGGCCTGCGGCCAACGAGTTTGACACCCCTGTTTTAACTGATGGTCAAAGAGCCTACAGATGCCCAGGGCCACCTTTTGCTTTAACAATTTTTCAACGTGAAAACAACCTTGGAAAAAAAACGTTCTGCTGCATATTTCACTGGTCAGCTGTTGTTTGCTTTTAAATTGCATGATTATCATTACATTTATATTTAGTTTGTAAATATTTTAATTAGATTCCATATTGTTTTTAAATATTTTAACCCACTTTAATTTTTGGCCACTTCAAATTGGCATTTAATAAATGCAGAAATTATTTGAGTGATGGAAAGCTGACAAATTTGGGCAGGAGAAAAATATCAAAAAATATCAATTTGGGGAAAGGTAGTTTAGTTCATATAAAAAACAAGTTGAATTGTTTTTTAATCAAAATATATTTAAATTTGAACCAGATGTCTACTATCAAAGAAGCATCCAGAAGCTTTTATTCATTCAAAGCCATCATATATTATTCTAAATAAAAATGTTCATGTGTCTCAAACTTTTTGGAGACTGGCTGTGAGAAGGACATTCCAAAGTCAAGGGCCAGATGGCAAAGGAACTTGTCCCTTCAGCTATCAAATTCTATAAATCCATCAAACATCTCAATAAACTGACAGGATCAGTCCTTTGGATGGCAAGCCATTAACAGTCACATATCTGAATATTTTGTTACTGTACTGAGCATTGAGAAGTACCAGGTTACTCACTACAATCATATCAAAAATGCAAGCACTGTCAAAAATATATGCTTTTAATAATGGACATTTTATTGCACTACATATATGGTGCAATATTCTGCAATGCAATGCCCAGCACTGGAGATGTTATATAGTTGGGTAATGAAACATCTGAAAAAAAACACCCAGCCAAGCTCAGAGAATTCCAAGGACTCCCCAGGACATTTTATTACATTAAGCTACAACACCTTTCTCCTTATTGTAGTAGTATTACAAAATTTCAATTGTGGTATTATTAATCTATCGAGGGAGGGAGGAGGAGAGGGAGGGAGGGAATTACAAGGTCTAGGTGTATAATCTGTTACATGGATATCATGTAAAATATAGATGAAGAAGCCATGGTATTTCAAAGTCAATTCTTATGTGAAAGCAATCAAAGTTTGCAAAGTTGTTTACAAAGAAACAAAACTGCCAAGACTACTTACTGTGTGTTTAGCAAAGTCTGTTTTCAGTTGTATTTTCAGATTTTGGAATTCCTCTATTTCTTTATCTAAACTCTCAGAATGAAGAAATGTTTGTTTTGTAGATGATTTCTCTTTAGTTATTATATCTTCTGCAACATGAATTTCTGCCTCTATAGCACCTTTAAGGACTTTGCAATACATCATTTCATAGGGAATCATTTGAATTTTCAAGTCAAGTAGGACAGGCTGCTGGAGCTCAGACTGAATTTGCTTTAAAGTCCTTAAACTGAGGCCCATCTTCTTCTGGAAACTTTGTTTGTGCTTGCATATTTCTTGATTAGCTACTATGATAGAAGAGATCATTTGTTCCAGCCCATCTATTTTTGTCTCTAAGGTCTTTATCTGCTTCATGCTGGACTTTTTGAGAGAGGCACTAAATGACTTATTTTTCTTGAAGAGCTTGAATGCTTCTTGAGTTATATATTTGGCATGTTCAACTCTCCATATCAATTTTTTTCCTGATATCAGATTGGCTTCAGGAGTAGAACTGGTAAGATCTTCCAAGTCACCACAGTCTTTCTGAATGCTAGATACTATAGCCTCAATCTCACTTAGGACTATTTGATGCCTATCATATTCTGCAAAAAAATTCTTCAGACATTGACCTCTCTTGTCAAGGTTATCCTTTGCTTTGCAGAACTGATCTTTCAGTTCATCAAGTGGTGATGTATCCCACTTCGGATCCAGCCATTTCCAGATCTCCTGGTATTGGTCCAGGTTTGATAAATGTGACTGGATGGCTGAAGTTCTCTCTTTAAACATATTCAGTTTATCTTTTATTATTTGATTCTTAGAGAGTGACTCTTCTGGATTTAGTTCCAGCTCATCAAAATGAAGATTGCTAAGATCCTGATGTAAGGCCTGTATCTCTTCTGAGAATTTTTTATAGGCACCCATTGTGTGTTGTACTAAGCGACCCTTAATTTGAATTACCCTATGGACCCTTTGTGCTCTACTTCTCAGACTTCTCAAACAATCATTTAAAAACAGCTGCTCAAAAGCATTTAGTCCTTCAGATGAATCTCTGCGGTTTGCATCTACAAGGGCTTCCATCTCTTGGATCTTCTTGGGAGTCTCTTCTAAAAGATTCTGCATGTGGTCAAACTCAGACTTTATATTTGTTTTATCAATATCTAAGCTAGATGCTGCCATGATCTTTTGAAGTTGTGCTTCAAATTTCTCTACATTTGCAAAAAGTTTTTCTCTTTTTCCAAGCTGAGATTCCAGCTGCTGTAACTTTTGAGATGATTTCAAAATAAGTAATTGGTAACCAGTTTGCAACTCATGTGAAAGGATGCTAAGTGCAGAATCCTCCTTGGATGGCATGTGAGAAGCAACATGCTGGGCTTCATCTGCTAGCCTTATAAAAGTTGGCTCTTTTTCTTTAGCATCACTGATTACAGCCTTGCAACGTTTAATTTGTGAGAGGAGATCATCTGGAAAGAGTGCTGCCCTCTCATCAAGATGGTGCATTAAAATTTTGTTCCCCAAAATGGCATCTTCTATCTCTTTTGTTATTTCATAGGTCTGGGGATGACCGCCAGTTATCTGGACATTCTCTTTAGGGGTCATTTGCTCCAATTCTTCTACCTGGCTCTGAAGATCATTTATTGTGTTCTCTAAGGCTATTTTTCCTGGACTGCTCCACATTCTTTTCATCTGTACATCTGCATTTCTTTTTAACAAAGAAATGTTTCGCTTAAGGATGCGCAGTTCTAAAGGAATCGAGATAGGGCCGGGACACTCTTCTGTACCAGGAGCACTCAGGCCTGTTTGCAAATCATGTTGCTGTTGCAAACATATTTGGAGTTCCTGTGCTTTGTCCATGAAAAGCTTAAACTCGTCCACTTCTGCCGCAACACAGAACTGTTTCTTTTGAAGACAGTCCCCCATTTGTTTCCACCACTGCTCTGCTTGATCCACCTGACTTTGTACTAATTCTCTGTCCAGAGTGGATAGTTGTCTAGATAGATTTTTTTGTTCAGATCTCAGCTTGTCTAAAAAACTATTTTCTTTTTGTAGAGAAGCCAACAATTTGTTCAAATTCTCTAGAAGAACTGTGTCTTCTACAGGTCCCCTTCTGCAATAGAAAAACAGGCATAGCTATAATTTTTTTGGTAAAGTCAATTTACTCAACATGCATTCACTAATCAGGTATATAGAACTATATTTCATATATATTAAATTACACTGAAGCTCCGCCATACATTGGATGTAATTACTAAGAATGAAAGACCATTGCACTTATCTAAATGAAAGGTGACAGAGATGACCATGTCGCCACCCTACAAATCTCGACTGAGGCTTGTGTTGCCCAGGCCGTGGTCATGGCTGCACTGTGCATTGTGTGGGCTGTGATGTTCTGGGGCGACAGACGGCCCTGCACCTCATACATCTTGGTGATACAGGCTTTCAACCACCTGCCAATAGTGGTGGACGAGACTCTTTGTCCCATGGAGCTGAGAAGGAAGGCCACAAAGAGGGCCTCTGACCATCGGAAGGACGTCATGTGCTTGATGTAATGTTGACGGGGTCAACGTACATTGAGGGGGTGCCATTTCCACTCACGGGGATGCATCGGATGGGGACAAAAGTCAGGTAACACCAAACCCTGGGTTCTATGAAACCAGGAGTTGACCTTCAGGGGGAAGGATGGATACAGCTGGAGAAACACTCTGTTGGGATGGAAAATGCAGAGGTTGCTGCGGACTGAAAGGGCCGCCAACTCCAAGACCCTCCGAGCCGAAGTTATGGCCATGAGAAAGGCCACTTTCAAAGTCAGTAACTGAAGGCTGATGGATTGGATAGGCTTGAAGGTAGCTGATGTCAAGGCTTCAAGCACGATGGGCAGCTCCCACCACAGATAATGATGGACTGTCGGAGTACGGAGGTTGGCAGCTCCCCTCAGAAAGGCGTGAACCCTGGGATGGTGTGCGAGGGAACAGTCCGCACTACCATGAAGAACCGTGGAAAGTGCCGCTGTCTGTCTCCATAAGATATTAGGGGCCACTCCCCTATCCAGGCCGTCCTGAAGGAAGTCCAGGACTTGAAGAAGTGAAGCCAATCTTGGGGCAATTCCCAGAGGATGACACCTGCAGAAGGCTGACCATGTCGCATTGTACACACATGTAGTGGATGGACTAGCCACTTGGATGGTACGAATGACACGTGCAGAGAAATTGTCGCGTCTCAGCATGTCTCCCTCAATGGCCAAACAGCCAACTGGAGCCACTGAGGGTCCGGGTGAAGAAGGGTCCCTTGGTGAGGATTATCCTGTCGTCCGGGATCCTCGGGGAGGGGTACAGATAGGCTGGTTAGGTCACCCCAGTGGGGGGTGACCATCAACATCTCCTCCTGCTCTGACAGAATCTCGTGATTCACCCTCAGGATGAGTGGCAGAGGCGGAAATGCATACAACAGCCCCCAGGGCCAGGGGCAGCAGAGAGCATCGACCCCCTCTGCCCCGAGTGTCTGGAACCTGCTGAAGAATCGAGGTAGGTGTGAATTGGCTGGAGACACGAACAGGTCTACTATCGGAACCCTGAACCTGCAGGACAGATCACAGAAGAGATCCAGATGGAGGTGCCACTTCGCCTGGTTCACAGTCATCCAACTCAGCCAATCAGCTTGCACGTTCGTGGAGCCAGAGATGTTGTCTGCCCTGATGGAAAGGAGGTGAGACTCCACCCACAGGAAGAGTGCCTGTGCCGCCAACATCAGACTCCTGGAATGCGTGCCTCCCTGGCGATTGATGTGTGCTTTGGTGGCCACGTTGTCCATGAAGATCAACAAGTTCCACCCCGCCACCAGGTCTGTGAACTCCCGAAGGGCCAGGGGGACAGCCAAAAGTTCTAGCCAATTGGTGTTGTTCATTAAATCCTGGGGGCTTCAATGTCCTTGGGCTACACAAGAGTGTGTGTGAGCCCCCCAACTGTACAAGCTGGCAGCGATCGTGATTGTGATCCGATCCGGTTCTCTGAAAAAACAACCTTTCAGCAAGGCTGAGGAGGTCCACCAGTAGAGAGAGTGGATCATCTTGGCAGATAGCCACACCGTGATGTCTGAGACTCTCTTGTTCCTTCTCTGGTGGGGCAGGAGGAACCATTGGCGCTGTGGTGTGTGAAGTTGGGCCCAGGGAACGATCCCTATGCAAAAGATCAGTTTCCCAAGTAATGTGTAAAGGATGGAAAAATGCACTGATCTCGGAGTCAGAACCTGGTTTACCAGGGCCCGGATGCTGGAGCAACGATCGTGAGACAGGGACACCTGGCACTGAAGAGTGTCTATCACAGCCCCTAGATGTAACAGTGATGGGGCTGGCAATAATTGGCTTTTTTTCCATATTTACCATAAATCCATGAAGCTGCAGCAACCTAATTGTTGCTCGAAGGTCGTGGTGGGCCTGCCTTAGAGATGTATCAGGACATCGTCGAGATAGGCTTGAGGTCTGATGGGACGAGAACTGATATGGGCCATCACTGCGGCCAACAGCTTCGTGAATGTCCTTCGGCCGATGAGAGGCCGAACGGCAGGGCCTGGTATTGAAAATGGCGCCCTGCGTAAGCGAATCGTAGGAACTTCCTGTGTGAGTGACGAATGGGCACATGAAGGTATGCCTCCTTGATGTCTACCGATGTTAGGTAGTCTCCCTGGCGAATGCAGCCCAAGATGGTTTGCCGCGACTGCATTTTGAAATGCTTGTATGTCAGATACACGTTTAGCCTCTTGAGATCCAGGATCGCTCTCCACCTCCTGGAGTTATTGGGCACTAAGAACAGGATAGAGTAACCCTTCCTCTCTTGACCTGAGGGGACCAGTTCGATGGCGCAAATGTCCAGAAAGGGCTGGATCTCGGTGTTTATGAGAGCCCTCATGACCCAGCACCTTGGGATGGAGCACCAGACGAATCGTCTTAGGGAGGTAGACAGAAAGTCTAGAGTGAGGCTGATCAGCACGGTCTGGAGAATCCAAGTGTCCGAGGTTGACTGTTCCCATTAGTCGACGGTGAGTCAACCACCAATGGGAATACCAACCTGGGAGTAAGCGGTACTGATGGAAGAGTCGGTAGCCGGAGCCTCGGCCTCCATGTCTGGGCTGGGACTGCTGATGCTGCTGGGGCTGCTACTGTTGCCTGCCCCTATCCCTAAATCTGGACAATCCTGGGGCTGGTCTGATCCCTGGTAATAGGGTCTCTGGTACTGGGGTCCAGTGGACTCCAATCCTCTCAAAAGGGCTGCCAACAGGACTAAGGTTGAGACCTATGGTCTGCCCGTCTTTGCATGCAGGGAAGAACTTTCCTTTTATCTTTATTTTCGATAAGAATGGGATCCAGAGCTTTGCCAAAAAGTTTCCTTTTTTTAAATGGAGCTGCCGCCAGGTGCCACTTAGAGCGCATGTCCGCCTGCCAATGGCAGAGCCAGAGGAGGAGGCGGGATGTGACATTAGTAGCCAATGCTCTGGAAGCAAATTTAGCCGCTGCTAGGGTAGCATCAACCAAAAATTCCAGAGCTGCCACCAACTTGTTAATGTCTTGGTGGAGGCGCAGGTCCTCAGGCATCTAGCCTGGACTGCAATTGCCTGAGCCATACCAAGGAAGTCCTATTGAAAAAGGACGCAGCAGTGGCTGCACGAATCGCCCAGGGAGCCGCCTGGTGTGATTTGCAGAAGGTTTATTTTGCCTTGCAGTCCTCTGCCTTCAGCCCTTCAGATGAGTCTGACGGGAAAATGGCAGGGGAGGTCAAAGCAGCAATCGGTGGATCCACGGATGGTATTTGGAGGAGCCCCTCCAGATCCAGACTGGGCCCAAAGAGTCACTTGTCATTGTTGCTCGATGGTGGAACTGCAGGAGGCTGGGACCACTGTCTCTGGATGACATCCAGAAAAAGTTTGGGAGATGGGATGACCTCCTGTTCTAGAACTGGTTCCAAGAACAAACGTTCAGTGGAATCTAGGCCCAGTGAAGGTTCTACTGGGGTGCCCTTGCCACCAATGTTAGCAGTAGACCTTGCTTTAAATAGCAGGGATTTGAACAGAGTAGGCCAGAAAAGGTCCCTGGGAATGGGGACATCTGGGGGGGGGGGCACCACATCATCTGATAATTCTTGGTCACCCTGCTCCTCATCACCCAGAGATGATTCATCGCTATGGTAGATTAAGCAGGAGAAGGGGGTCCCCTGCAGGACTGGGAGCAGGCTGTGAAGGTGCCCTCAACTGCCTGGACCTCCTGCGGTTCAGAGTCAACCCCCTGTGAGAAAACAGCAGAGATCAGATCCCTGAATTCTCTAGGGAGGTCCACAACCTGATTGTCCACCACACAGTCCTCCTGCCATGGGAGTGAATGTGGCCTTGGGCGGGGAACGCCTGGCTGCAGGTGTGGAGTGCCTGGTGTGAGAGGCCTGTGTAATGCTGAGGACTGACACACTTGGTGTGGAACCAGGTCCCAGGCATACATCCTCCCTCAGAGAGGCCCTGTACTATCCCGGGACCAATCCCTAGCCGTGCCCAAAGGAGATCCTTGAAGGGACAAAGGAGGCAGTACCTCCAGTTGCAAGGGCAGTGGAGAATTAGGAGCCCTAGATGATTTAGAAGCTTTAGAGACCTTTTTGGAGGAAGCCCGGTGTTCGGACGGGCATCCTTATCAGCAGCCGCTGATAAGGAAGTGGCCTTGGACCTATTGGCTGTGCTCCTGGTGGTAGTCCTCCCCACCCTGCTGGGGGAGGGAAATCTCTCAAGGGTGAGCTTTCAGGGGAAATCCCTTCCCCCGATGCTGAAATAGGTGCCTGGACTGCCATTTTCCTTAATTGCACCCTGTGAATTATTGGGGGAATACAAGGCAAACCTGCAGGGGACCCAGCGATCCTGGTTGGTCAATAGGTGATATGCAATCACCGGAGGACAAAGTGCCACAGAAAAACTCAGCTGAGATCGCCTGCGGAGATAAGCCAGTGATATCAAAACCACGCTGCTGCTCTCTTCGGAAGCCAGCTCGCAATGAGGCTCTTGGCACTTTAAAATGGCCTACGTTGCTCAGGAGCTAAATTGGCACCGAAACCAATGGTATAGCCAATCAGCACTCAGCGGCTCCAGGCGCAGCCCGCACCTGCAAAATTTGAATTCCGGAATCAAAATGGCGACTCTGCAAGCCTGAAGCAGCAAAAAGCATTAGCAGTGGGAGGATGGTGCACCAAGCCTTCAAGTGCACCAAGAGGGGCTCAAGAACGGCACACCGAATTCATGGCCCTCGGAACCAGGCAGCAAGACAATCACGGGCTAACCTGAGCAATCAGGCAGAAGCGCCCGACAGCACACGCCCTCCCCCAGAGGGGAAAAACTTTGGCAGCGGTTCTTGCCAACGGACCGGGCTAACCAGCACACCCGCAAAATTCGTAAACATTTACAATACAGTAAAACAAGAAAAATAGTACCTGTGACTGCTAAGAAAATCCAAAGGAAAAAACTCCTAAAAGTTACAGGAAATAATGTGATTACGTCTCTTTAGCCAAACTGAATTGAAAAAACTGATGAGCCAAGTGAAAAAGTGAGGCATGGCCAAGTTTATTCAATTCAGTCTCTAGGCAACCAGACCAAAATTAACCCATTCCTTTGGATTCTCTAAACAGCGCACTGAAGAATATGTATATTTTTAACATTTAAATATAACTGGAACCATTCAAAGGGATATTATATATAAATAATACCATAGCAATAATTATCGCAAATACAATGATTAATTCATATCCTAAGTTGATTTACTAAGCCACAATAGGAAAGTTCAAATATTTATGGCTTAGCATTGTATATAAATCATATTATTCTATGTCTATCCCAAGCCTTTGGGAATGTAACAAATTACAAAACAAATGAAATAAAAGTTTCCTCTCTATGGTGTACACACATTAACAATAAATTAAGTGAATTATATCACATCCAACAAATGTAGAAAGCTGGTCCAGGAACTTACGTATATATGTTTTCTTTTTCTGCTAATAAATGTTTCATTGAAGACTGAACAGTAGCAAGACATTCATGGTAGCGATTGACTAAATTAAACTGATTCTGCTTGGCCTCTTTAGCAGCCATTAATTCTTGCAGGAGTCTGTCCCAACTGGAAGAGGTCACCCTGTGGGCGTCCTTGTGGTTTGGCTGACTTCCTTCTGCCACCACTGAGTGTTCTGGCCACACTGACAAAGCTTGAGCTTTCTTCTTTTCTAGATGCAGACACAAATCCTATGACAGAAAATCGGAGAGGGGAGGTGGGTCTTGTCTTGTTTGTTTTAAAGGAATTGTTTCATCTTTGTCTTTCTGAATCAGATTAAATACCTATTTACTACGCATTGTATTTCTAACTACAAATGGTCAAAATATTTCCCAAAAGTCCACATTTAGGGCACTAAAGCCAGTGAAGCTGCCAAGGTGAAGGGGACGTGGGCAAAATGCCATGGACAATAGGGAGGAAATTGTTATAATGAGCTCTTTCATATTGTTCATGACATTTTCTACCCCTTGTTAAAAGTAAGAGGAATACCCCAACACCCCATACACCCCATTTCTCCTGCCACAGATAAATATGTAGCTTTGGATCATTTTTCTCAAAAATAAAGGAACAAGTACAGGTTTTCAATTCATTTGTTTAACTGCATTCTCTTTATCTAATTTTAGGATTTGTGTGAAGAACAGACCACGTTTTGGGTCATATTTATGCATAAATGTGGAAAGTTCAAATGAGTTCACAGACTTTTAAGCCCCATTGGAGGTGAGGTCTCTCATACAACCCCCCCTCCCTGTGTTATTTTAGACAGAAGGATGCCAATTGGTGGGAACAATCTGTGTTATTATTCCCTTCATGTTGTTGAAATGCTCACATATCCAATGTCATGAGATTGCACTACCCAGAAATAGCTATGAGATTCCCATGTGCCTGAGCAGACGAGTGGGAGGATAAGAATATAGCAGGGACTAACAGAGTGCTTACAGCCACGCCAATGAACATATTGTTTCCATACCTCTATCTCTCTCAGTTGATCTTTCATTAATACAATATCTAACTCTGCAGTCCAAATTTTCACTTTGTTGATCTTTTGTTCCAGCTCTGCATACTCAACAATTGTTTGGTCTTCAAGATAACCCTGTTGGGAAATCCAAACAGGTAACTGCATTGATTTGACATAAAATATTTTGCAATCTACGGAAATACTCCTATATCATTATAATCCAGATTTTTTTATTGAAGAAAAAGGTATCAGGTACAAATCTTGCTGGGAGCTTGATCACCTGATTTAAGTTACATCATGTCCACTTTATTCATTGTTCTAGCTAAGATGATTACTTCCCATCCTTGCATGACGGAGGGGTTATAAAAAGTACCCTAAACATTTCCTACCCCACAACAACATCTGGCTAGCTAACCGTGTTTAGCAGATCACCTTAGTGGTCAAGAATCAAGAAAAAGAAAGAAGATTCATTTTTGGAACCTGGAATCTCTGTACCTTGCTGGAGAGAAACAAATGCAAACAAGGACTGTTTTTCTTCACTTGAAATTCCCATTGCTGGCAAACGCAACAGTGCAATAATGGGAATTTCAATGGAAGAAAAATATTAAATTTATGGTGAATATTACTCTTCAAGTAAATTCATATACTGTAATATGCTTGTGGATATTATATTTGGACTTGATCCTTTGGTTTTTACTCTTGTGTTTACTATCCAACATTGAGATTTTGAGATGATTACATCAAATAATTAATTAATTGATTAATTAATTAATTAAATAAATAAATACTGCATCAATGGTATGTTACACCAGTATTAATGGCCAAAATAGACAATTTTTTTAAAAAATTTTTTTGCAAATGCACTGATCAAGTCAGATAATTTTCCATGTTTGGTGGCAACATTTAAACTTTAAAAATTTAGAAAATAGAAAAACAAAGTCTAAAAGTTGAATTTCCCNCTGGAGCAACGATCGTGAGACAGGGACACCTGGCACTGAAGAGTGTCTATCACAGCCCCTAGATGTAACAGTGATGGGGCTGGCAATAATTGGCTTTTTTTCCATATTTACCATAAATCCGTGAAGCTGCAGCAACCTAATTGTTGCTCGAAGGTCGTGGTGGGCCTGCCTTAGAGATGTATCAGGACATCGTCGAGATAGGCTTGAGGTCTGATGGGACGAGAACTGATATGGGCCATCACTGCGGCCAACAGCTTCGTGAATGTCCTTCGGCCGATGAGAGGCCGAACGGCAGGGCCTGGTATTGAAAATGGCGCCCTGCGTAAGCGAATCGTAGGAACTTCCTGTGTGAGTGACGAATGGGCACATGAAGGTATGCCTCCTTGATGTCTACCGATGTTAGGTAGTCTCCCTGGCGAATGCAGCCCAAGATGGTTTGCCGCGACTGCATTTTGAAATGCTTGTATGTCAGATACACGTTTAGCCTCTTGAGATCCAGGATCGCTCTCCACCTCCTGGAGTTATTGGGCACTAAGAACAGGATAGAGTAACCCTTCCTCTCTTGACCTGAGGGGACCAGTTCGATGGCGCAAATGTCCAGAAAGGGCTGGATCTCGGTGTTTATGAGAGCCCTCATGACCCAGCACCTTGGGATGGAGCACCAGACGAATCGTCTTAGGGAGGTAGACAGAAAGTCTAGAGTGAGGCTGATCAGCACGGTCTGGAGAATCCAAGTGTCCGAGGTTGACTGTTCCCATTAGTCGACGGTGAGTCAACCACCAATGGGAATACCAACCTGGGAGTAAGCGGTACTGATGGAAGAGTCGGTAGCCGGAGCCTCGGCCTCCATGTCTGGGCTGGGACTGCTGATGCTGCTGGGGCTGCTACTGTTGCCTGCCCCTATCCCTAAATCTGGACAATCCTGGGGCTGGTCTGATCCCTGGTAATAGGGTCTCTGGTACTGGGGTCCAGTGGACTCCAATCCTCTCAAAAGGGCTGCCAACAGGACTAAGGTTGAGACCTATGGTCTGCCCGTCTTTGCATGCAGGGAAGAACTTTCCTTTTATCTTTATTTTCGATAAGAATGGGATCCAGAGCTTTGCCAAAAAGTTTCCTTTTTTTAAATGGAGCTGCCGCCAGGTGCCACTTAGAGCGCATGTCCGCCTGCCAATGGCAGAGCCAGAGGAGGAGGCGGGATGTGACATTAGTAGCCAATGCTCTGGAAGCAAATTTAGCCGCTGCTAGGGTAGCATCAACCAAAAATTCCAGAGCTGCCACCAACTTGTTAATGTCTTGGTGGAGGCGCAGGTCCTCAGGCATCTAGCCTGGACTGCAATTGCCTGAGCCATACCAAGGAAGTCCTATTGAAAAAGGACGCAGCAGTGGCTGCACGAATCGCCCAGGGAGCCGCCTGGTGTGATTTGCAGAAGGTTTATTTTGCCTTGCAGTCCTCTGCCTTCAGCCCTTCAGATGAGTCTGACGGGAAAATGGCAGGGGAGGTCAAAGCAGCAATCGGTGGATCCACGGATGGTATTTGGAGGAGCCCCTCCAGATCCAGACTGGGCCCAAAGAGTCACTTGTCATTGTTGCTCGATGGTGGAACTGCAGGAGGCTGGGACCACTGTCTCTGGATGACATCCAGAAAAAGTTTGGGAGATGGGATGACCTCCTGTTCTAGAACTGGTTCCAAGAACAAACGTTCAGTGGAATCTAGGCCCAGTGAAGGTTCTACTGGGGTGCCCTTGCCACCAATGTTAGCAGTAGACCTTGCTTTAAATAGCAGGGATTTGAACAGAGTAGGCCAGAAAAGGTCCCTGGGAATGGGGACATCTGGGGGGGGGGGCACCACATCATCTGATAATTCTTGGTCACCCTGCTCCTCATCACCCAGAGATGATTCATCGCTATGGTAGATTAAGCAGGAGAAGGGGGTCCCCTGCAGGACTGGGAGCAGGCTGTGAAGGTGCCCTCAACTGCCTGGACCTCCTGCGGTTCAGAGTCAACCCCCTGTGAGAAAACAGCAGAGATCAGATCCCTGAATTCTCTAGGGAGGTCCACAACCTGATTGTCCACCACACAGTCCTCCTGCCATGGGAGTGAATGTGGCCTTGGGCGGGGAACGCCTGGCTGCAGGTGTGGAGTGCCTGGTGTGAGAGGCCTGTGTAATGCTGAGGACTGACACACTTGGTGTGGAACCAGGTCCCAGGCATACATCCTCCCTCAGAGAGGCCCTGTACTATCCCGGGACCAATCCCTAGCCGTGCCCAAAGGAGATCCTTGAAGGGACAAAGGAGGCAGTACCTCCAGTTGCAAGGGCAGTGGAGAATTAGGAGCCCTAGATGATTTAGAAGCTTTAGAGACCTTTTTGGAGGAAGCCCGGTGTTCGGACGGGCATCCTTATCAGCAGCCGCTGATAAGGAAGTGGCCTTGGACCTATTGGCTGTGCTCCTGGTGGTAGTCCTCCCCACCCTGCTGGGGGAGGGAAATCTCTCAAGGGTGAGCTTTCAGGGGAAATCCCTTCCCCCGATGCTGAAATAGGTGCCTGGACTGCCATTTTCCTTAATTGCACCCTGTGAATTATTGGGGGAATACAAGGCAAACCTGCAGGGGACCCAGCGATCCTGGTTGGTCAATAGGTGATATGCAATCACCGGAGGACAAAGTGCCACAGAAAAACTCAGCTGAGATCGCCTGCGGAGATAAGCCAGTGATATCAAAACCACGCTGCTGCTCTCTTCGGAAGCCAGCTCGCAATGAGGCTCTTGGCACTTTAAAATGGCCTACGTTGCTCAGGAGCTAAATTGGCACCGAAACCAATGGTATAGCCAATCAGCACTCAGCGGCTCCAGGCGCAGCCCGCACCTGCAAAATTTGAATTCCGGAATCAAAATGGCGACTCTGCAAGCCTGAAGCAGCAAAAAGCATTAGCAGTGGGAGGATGGTGCACCAAGCCTTCAAGTGCACCAAGAGGGGCTCAAGAACGGCACACCGAATTCATGGCCCTCGGAACCAGGCAGCAAGACAATCACGGGCTAACCTGAGCAATCAGGCAGAAGCGCCCGACAGCACACGCCCTCCCCCAGAGGGGAAAAACTTTGGCAGCGGTTCTTGCCAACGGACCGGGCTAACCAGCACACCCGCAAAATTCGTAAACATTTACAATACAGTAAAACAAGAAAAATAGTACCTGTGACTGCTAAGAAAATCCAAAGGAAAAAACTCCTAAAAGTTACAGGAAATAATGTGATTACGTCTCTTTAGCCAAACTGAATTGAAAAAACTGATGAGCCAAGTGAAAAAGTGAGGCATGGCCAAGTTTATTCAATTCAGTCTCTAGGCAACCAGACCAAAATTAACCCATTCCTTTGGATTCTCTAAACAGCGCACTGAAGAATATGTATATTTTTAACATTTAAATATAACTGGAACCATTCAAAGGGATATTATATATAAATAATACCATAGCAATAATTATCGCAAATACAATGATTAATTCATATCCTAAGTTGATTTACTAAGCCACAATAGGAAAGTTCAAATATTTATGGCTTAGCATTGTATATAAATCATATTATTCTATGTCTATCCCAAGCCTTTGGGAATGTAACAAATTACAAAACAAATGAAATAAAAGTTTCCTCTCTATGGTGTACACACATTAACAATAAATTAAGTGAATTATATCACATCCAACAAATGTAGAAAGCTGGTCCAGGAACTTACGTATATATGTTTTCTTTTTCTGCTAATAAATGTTTCATTGAAGACTGAACAGTAGCAAGACATTCATGGTAGCGATTGACTAAATTAAACTGATTCTGCTTGGCCTCTTTAGCAGCCATTAATTCTTGCAGGAGTCTGTCCCAACTGGAAGAGGTCACCCTGTGGGCGTCCTTGTGGTTTGGCTGACTTCCTTCTGCCACCACTGAGTGTTCTGGCCACACTGACAAAGCTTGAGCTTTCTTCTTTTCTAGATGCAGACACAAATCCTATGACAGAAAATCGGAGAGGGGAGGTGGGTCTTGTCTTGTTTGTTTTAAAGGAATTGTTTCATCTTTGTCTTTCTGAATCAGATTAAATACCTATTTACTACGCATTGTATTTCTAACTACAAATGGTCAAAATATTTCCCAAAAGTCCACATTTAGGGCACTAAAGCCAGTGAAGCTGCCAAGGTGAAGGGGACGTGGGCAAAATGCCATGGACAATAGGGAGGAAATTGTTATAATGAGCTCTTTCATATTGTTCATGACATTTTCTACCCCTTGTTAAAAGTAAGAGGAATACCCCAACACCCCATACACCCCATTTCTCCTGCCACAGATAAATATGTAGCTTTGGATCATTTTTCTCAAAAATAAAGGAACAAGTACAGGTTTTCAATTCATTTGTTTAACTGCATTCTCTTTATCTAATTTTAGGATTTGTGTGAAGAACAGACCACGTTTTGGGTCATATTTATGCATAAATGTGGAAAGTTCAAATGAGTTCACAGACTTTTAAGCCCCATTGGAGGTGAGGTCTCTCATACAACCCCCCCTCCCTGTGTTATTTTAGACAGAAGGATGCCAATTGGTGGGAACAATCTGTGTTATTATTCCCTTCATGTTGTTGAAATGCTCACATATCCAATGTCATGAGATTGCACTACCCAGAAATAGCTATGAGATTCCCATGTGCCTGAGCAGACGAGTGGGAGGATAAGAATATAGCAGGGACTAACAGAGTGCTTACAGCCACGCCAATGAACATATTGTTTCCATACCTCTATCTCTCTCAGTTGATCTTTCATTAATACAATATCTAACTCTGCAGTCCAAATTTTCACTTTGTTGATCTTTTGTTCCAGCTCTGCATACTCAACAATTGTTTGGTCTTCAAGATAACCCTGTTGGGAAATCCAAACAGGTAACTGCATTGATTTGACATAAAATATTTTGCAATCTACGGAAATACTCCTATATCATTATAATCCAGATTTTTTTATTGAAGAAAAAGGTATCAGGTACAAATCTTGCTGGGAGCTTGATCACCTGATTTAAGTTACATCATGTCCACTTTATTCATTGTTCTAGCTAAGATGATTACTTCCCATCCTTGCATGACGGAGGGGTTATAAAAAGTACCCTAAACATTTCCTACCCCACAACAACATCTGGCTAGCTAACCGTGTTTAGCAGATCACCTTAGTGGTCAAGAATCAAGAAAAAGAAAGAAGATTCATTTTTGGAACCTGGAATCTCTGTACCTTGCTGGAGAGAAACAAATGCAAACAAGGACTGTTTTTCTTCACTTGAAATTCCCATTGCTGGCAAACGCAACAGTGCAATAATGGGAATTTCAATGGAAGAAAAATATTAAATTTATGGTGAATATTACTCTTCAAGTAAATTCATATACTGTAATATGCTTGTGGATATTATATTTGGACTTGATCCTTTGGTTTTTACTCTTGTGTTTACTATCCAACATTGAGATTTTGAGATGATTACATCAAATAATTAATTAATTGATTAATTAATTAATTAAATAAATAAATACTGCATCAATGGTATGTTACACCAGTATTAATGGCCAAAATAGACAATTTTTTTAAAAAATTTTTTTGCAAATGCACTGATCAAGTCAGATAATTTTCCATGTTTGGTGGCAACATTTAAACTTTAAAAATTTAGAAAATAGAAAAACAAAGTCTAAAAGTTGAATTTCCCTTTCAACGCACCATTTTCTTGTTAAATATTATTAAACTTGACTCTCACTTGATAACTGCATATTAATTTGATTTTGATAAAGAATGAATGTTTAAAATCTGGTAAGATACATAAATATGTGGAACTAAAATTATATTATTTTGATATTTTACTCGATCATTTGGTTTTATAATGCTGTAGATCTCTCTACTATTCACTTATTGGTTGCTTCCCCCCCCCCCAATTTTTTCTTTTTTCTGATTCTCTTTCTCAGCTGTGGTTTTTAAATCTCTCTGTCTCTCCCCCTCTCCCTGTCTCTCTCAAAAATAAAGATCTGAACATTCACATGTGAAACTGAGAAAAACAAGCATTCTTTCAAAAGCCAAATCTTATTTTAGAGGGAATTAACAATAAAGAGAAGTTTATCCTACTCAGCTTCACATGAACCAGTATTCCTGGACCAATGGCCCACCCTCTCCACTATTGGAAACTGAAAAGAGAAAGGGTGAAATTGATTGAATTATGGATTAATGGCTATCCTGGCTGAAGAGCTAGCAGAGCACAAGAATAGCACTTAACCATGTCCTTCAATGAAGTTGTGCAACAACAGAGATTACTACCTTGCTTTCCGGAGATGGATGTATAATGGACAAAGGAGTAGGGTCAGCCTCCATTACCTTTCCATTCATTAATGGCAAAATGGTTTGAGGCATTTCTGACCAGGCATATGTTGCTTGCAATTTCTTTTGATAGCTATGCTGCTGTTGCGGAGTTTCATTGGGATAATCATCCGCCAGTATTTGCTCTGATTTCTGCTGCTGCTTTGCACACTGGCTTGCTGAACTTTGGAAATTGTGGGCTTCCATCAAATTGCCTTTCAATTCCTGCTAAGTAGAAGTAGAATGGAGGAGAAAGGAGGGGAAAGAGAGAAAAATCATAACCTTCTCGGGACAGCAGGTACTGAAATGTCAATTGCTTTCTTAATGGAAAGATAGTGAAAGAATAATAGAATAAAGGGGTGGTAAAGGTCAGTGAAAAGCACATCTGCACAGACGCCTCTCCCAGGAACAATATTATGAGGATGGAGAAGGTTGCTCAAAGCTCTGACAAAGTTAATTGGCCTAAAAGTTTTCTCCTTCTATGGCTGTAATCTTATAATTCACAGGAGATGGGTCCCTTCTAACCAGATTCAGTCTGTTTACTCTCTATACTGTGAAGCAGTGCAAATGGGTCTGGAGTTTTCTTGGAACTGTTGAAAGGGCTGTGTTGTAGACTGGAGATAGATGATGTCAGATTTCTCCCTTTCTGTTGAGAGACGGCTGTTCAGTTTTGACATAGATGGCCTCTTTGACCCCTCTTTCAAACCAGCAGTCCTATTTGTCCAAAATGTGGACTCTGCTGTCTTCAAAAGAGTAACCTTTGTCTTTTAAATGAAGATGGGCTGCTGAATGTTATCCTGATACAAACTGTCAGGGACTGCCTGTGGTTTCAAGCATAGGTCTTTCCCAGTCCAATTAAAAGATGCCAGGGACTCAACATGTCCATTCTGTATGTGCCATATTCTACATTTTATTACAAAACTAGCCCAGTGTTGCCATTTATGATAGAAAACAGTTTGACATACAAAGGGGCTATTGGCTTGCCTTCCTCTGCTTTTTTAAGTATTTTTGCTTCAGTTGAAGAATGTATCCATGAGGAGACCTCAGGTTACCTAAGGCAACACTGTTCAATGCAATCACGTAGAAAATACCTTTGTCTGGAAATCTGTTTTCTATCAGAAATGGCAACACTGGGCTAGTTTTTTAACTATCCTTCGATTTCCCACCATCCAGTCATAGCTGAAGAAGCTTCTTGGATGAGAAGTGAAATGTCTTCAAAGGACAACTAGAAAGTTCAGTTGCCTCTTGAAAAAGCACCTTTGGGACAACCATGATCTGGGTGACTGAGAATCTCCATAGACATTTGTATAGACAATGTAAATTAGTTATGTTAGTGCCCTGGCATTGTACTAGGGAGCGTCTAAGTTCCTATGCTCTAACTCTATAAAAGATAGCTGCATTTATTCCATTAATCCATGAGGTTCCTTTGGTCCTGGTTGCACCCACTTCCATTGGAGCAAGAAGCAATAGTTGAAGGAAGAGGACTTGTGGCAGATCCCAACGCTCTACTGGGTATCACAGGGGCAGAGAAAGAGAATGCAGCAGAGAGTATAATACAACTGATGTCTGCAACATGTATAAGTGAAATTGGCCCTATGGTATGAAGCACCTTTAACACAACATCCCCATGGATTTGATACCAGAGAAGGAGCAGGACTGTTCAGCTTTTCACAAATTGAACTTGAGGAAAAACATCCAGTATGGCAGATATAAGCAAAGTCACTCTCCAATGCTGATGGTTCTTGCATCTGTTTATCTTAGTTCTGAATATTTTTCTACTGTCTTGTCAGCTGCAACCATCCTGTAACTTCCTTGCTTGACTACATCATGAATTTATTTCATCCATTTATATGGGATATATTATGGATTATATAGATTGACCACTGCCAGAAGAATCACAAAGACCTCAGTTATGAACAGCTTTGCATTTGTAAACTCTCATTCTGCTTTGGCTTCCCTGATTAAAATTGCATGTTCCTCCTTATCTAAAGACTATGGGCTTGCTACCAAAAATTTTGTAACTTCCAATGGATAAGATGTTAACTTGTTGCTGAAAGCATAACAAAATAAGAGAGGGCATTGTACAGTATTTGGTGTGGAATACAAGCTACACCTAGACTGCAAAAACCTGGTGTTAAGAGTTGTCTGCTTCCCGTTGTTGCCTTCTGTTGGTTATCCAGTTTTTGTAGCCCGTGTTTGTTTGTTTGTTTAAATTTATCACTCCAGTAGACTCTGGGTGGCGTAGAAAATCTAACACTAACTAAAACGGTTAGAAACATAGACAAAAATAATCCCTCAGCAAGACAGACCCAACAGCATATTAACCCCAGTCTAGGATCAAAGCCAGTCTTCACGGGCTTTTCAGAACCCAGGAAAGTGGGCACCATCTGTATCTCTGAGAGGATGCTTGTTCCAGGGACAGGGTCAGCCACAGAGATGGCGCACTTTCCAGATACCATAAGACAGCAACATTTAATAGAAGAGACCTGGAACATACATACTCTGCCCAAACGCACTAGCGGTATAGTAGTCCTAGGAAAGCCCACATGAATGGTTTTCATTATGATCTCAAAAGCACAGACAGGCACACATTGAGACAAGGAATCCATCAAGTACTATGGTCTAAAGCTATGAAGAACAATGAAAATCAAGCCAATACTTTGAACTAGGTCCACAAAGGGGGCTAAGAGCCAACGGAGATGACAAAATGCTGGCATAATAAACTCATAATACCAATCATGGCTATGAGAGGCTTCCTTTCTCAGCAACAGCAAGAGGCAATAATCACAGCATTGGAGACACCAACCCAGAATATGAGTTTGTCTCTCAATCCATATGTCACTTGTTTACCTGCTCTCCCTCCTGCTGCTGGGAAAGAAAATGCAGTGGAGGGTTACAATCTTATTTCATCTAAAGAGCTGTTGGACATTTTTCTCCCTGCTGGAAGAGTGGGAGGAGAAGGTGATAGCAGCAGGTTAATTCCCAAAGCACAGCAATAGTAAATTTGTTGCTATGGAAGAGATGTGCTAATGTTTTCAGAAAGGACTTGAAGCACATTGACTCATCCTTTTATAGATGTCCTTAAATACATGAAGATGCTATGGAGAATAAACCAAGTGGTCCATATCCTACAGAACTTTATGGAAGAATGCAGGATTTGATATCAGGAAAGGATTATCCACAGACTTTTGTTCAGGTAAGTTGCTGGGGGACATTGAATTAGAAAATCCTACCTATTACTTTCAGAGGAGTTATTCAGGACAGTTAAATTGTGTCTGAGTGCTGCACATTTTCTGTAATGATGCTTGCTCTCTGATTACCTATCAGCAATATTCTGGGAATAAATAAATTTCTCTATTTCAAAATAGAGAAACAGCAAACTTATAAGGAAAGAAACAGGAATATACAGGTGATTGTAAAGTCATATCCCTTACTAATCCAGGCCTCATCATTCCATATCATAAACATTATTTTATGGAAATGGCACACACATAAAAGCCCTTTCAAAACCATTCTATCAAATGTTTGAAAGTAAGATTGCCAGGGAGAGTAAAAGATTACCTCAGTAACTGCAGCTGCTCTCTCCTCAGATACAAGTGCTAAGGAGCTTGGTAATTGCACTTTACGTGTCAACCATTCTGGAAAGAAATCTGGAGCTTCTCTGTCCAGCTGATTTTTCACTCTGAAGGAATTTTCCTTCAAAAGACAGAAACATGAAATAATTAAGTCAAGTGAAGATTGCAGAAGAAGTTGGAGAATTATTATATGTTATCTCCATATTTACATTCATATTATATGAATTTAAACCATATTATATATTATATTCATATTCAGAATACGACATGATAATAATAGTCAAAGGTCCTCAAGATCTGGATGCACCATAAAGGCCTGGGAATCCCAGAGAACTGGCATACTAGTAAGACAGCTCCATTATTATTAACATACTTTTATTCTTTTATAAAATTGTGTTCTATCATTTTTAGTATTTTTAATAGTTATTATTTATGAATGACAGCTCTGTTGTATGCTGTCCACTGTCACTTGTTTTGTTAAATGAAAGTCTATACAAATTTGAAAGATCTAGAACTTTTAATCTCTGAGTAATGTTTTATTGTACAAAACCCTATCAAAAGAACATGAATGCTTGAGGTGGGAAAATAAATGAAACTTTGATTTTGGGTTTAGCGACTACATTTATTTGTTTATATAGTTATTATTATAGAAAAGTAAAAAGTTGTGGTTTGAAATTAATGCTTTATTTTACTGCAACAGAGGGAGTCAGAAATCAACACTCCCCACCCATTCCCTCTCACTTCTCTTTCCCCTTCCCCACCCACCACACTATGTCTTCCTATTTGCTTTTGTATTTTTCATTTTATTCTATAATCTAATAAAATGTTTAAATGGAAAAAAAAGAGAACATGACTGCAAGAATGTTGCATTACATTTGGCAACTTTCCAGTTCTGACTCCTGATGTTTCAGAGCAGTAAATTACATCTTTTTTTATTTAATTTATTTATTATTAGACTTCAATACTGCCCATTTTCTAGAGGCGACTCACTTAATCCCAACATTTGCTAGCTAATTATAATTTCACTGAAAACTATTTACACACCTGTGTTTTATTTCAGCAATGCCTTATTTCTTTTCATATTTCTTCTCAATGTCGAGAAGAAAATGACCATTAGCTTATCTGAATGGTCGTTCTCTGGGCACTGCAGGAGAGTCCAAATATGGGTTAACATAACCTATCTGCCCTAGGACTGAGTAGATTTTTCTTTGGTCACACCTCCTTTGCCTTCTCAAGGTCAGTTTAAAAATGAACTCTTGTCTGCTATAGGATGCCCATCAGGTAATCTAATTATAACTCCAAATCTTGGATCTTCCAAGAAACCCTGGGCAGGTTTGGACTCTACTGCAGCACCCAGAGAATGACCGTTCAGGTAAGCCAACGGTCATTCTCCTGTGTACTGCTTGGAGAGTCCAAGTGTGGGACATACCCAAGCTATTGTATCCCAGGGAGGGTCGATGTTGAGTTCAGAGTGTCCAGAGCCAAAGCAACTTGTTGCAAAACACATCTTCCAAAGAAGGCTTCGGCTGAGGCAAAGGTGTCAATTTTATAATTTCTGATGAAAGCTGTGGGGGACGCCCACGTAGCAGCTCTGCAAATGTCAATGATGGATGCCTGGGTCACCCAGGCCGCTGTGGTGGCGGCACTCCTTGTGGAGTGTGCCATCACACGACCCATCACGGTCCTGCCCTGATGTTCATAAACCATTTTTATGCAGACCCACAGCCAACATCCAATGGTTGAGGACAAAACCTTACGGCCCAATGATCCAGGTTGAAAAGACACAAAGAATGACTCTGAATGTCTAAGGTCCTTAGTTCTTTTCATATATATGCGGACTGCTCGTCGAACGTCCAGCTTGTGCCAGGTGTGTTCCTTGGGGTGGTTAGGCCTGGGACAAAAATTCAGGAGGATCACCTCCTGAGATCTGTGAAAGTGAGAGTTCACCTTTGGTAAAAAGGAGGGATCGAGATGAAGGACAACTCAATCATGATAGACGATACACAGCTCCACCCTGACAGAGAATGCCACAATCTCTGACACCCTCCTAGCAGAGATAATGGCTACTAAGAAGGCAGTCTTAAAAGTCAAGTGACGAAGAGAAGCGGTTCTCAATGGTTCAAATGGTGCGGTAGTTAGGGCTCGCAGAACATATGGTAAGTTCCAAGACAGGTACCTGTGGATCATCTGAGATTGAAGATTGGTTGCTCCCTTCAAGAAACTCTTGATCTGAGGGTGTTGAATCAAGGACTGATGAGAGTCTCTAGCCAGAATAGTGGACAAGGCTGCAACCTGGAGACCGAGGGTGTTGGGCGCCAAGCCTTTGTCCAACCCCTCCTGAAGGAAGTCCAGAAGTTGGGGTATGGATGCTGCAACATCTACAATGGTACGCCGCTTGCACCAGGTGGGGAACGCGGTTCAGGTCACATCGTAGATGCGTGTAGTGGATGGCCTCCTGGATGCTTGAATGGTCTGGATGACCTCGTCAGATAGGTGTTGTTTCGTCAGGAGATCCCCTTCAAGTGCCATATGGCTAGTTGGAGCCACTGGGACTCTGGATGACTGATGACCCCCTGGCTGAGGGAAAGTTGTTCCTGAGGAATTCTCCACAGTTTCCTTATGAATAGATCAACCAGGTCCACGTACCAGGACCTCCTGGGCCAATGCGGAGCTACCAGTATGAGTTCCGACCCCTCTGCCAGGAGTTTTTTGATTACCTGCGGGATGAGCAGCAGGGATGGAAAGGCATACAGGAGACCTGGGGGCCACCTGGACCTCAGCACATCCGTCCCCTCCGCCTGTGGCGAGTGGTAGCGCGAGAAGAATCTTGGGAGTTGCATGTTGAGTGCAGTTGCAAACAGATTGACTTGTGGCTGCCCAAACCGGCGCACTATCTGTTGGAACAGAGGTGGATGTAGGTGCCACTCTGAGTTGTCAATCATCTGTCGGGTCAGCCAGTCTGCCCTTACATTGCTGGTGCCAGATACGTGATCCGCTCTTATTGATGTTAGATGTTGCTCCGCCCAATGGCCCAGGGCCTCCGCCTCTGCCACGAGTCTCCTGGAGTGGGTGCCGCCCTGCCGATTTACATGGACCTTTTTGCAATGTTGTCTGTGAGTAACAGAACATGGCGACCCACGAGTTGGGCTGATATCCGTCTAAGGGTGAGTCTGGCTGCTCTCAGCTCTAGCCAATTGATGCTTCGAGCTGCCTCTGTCTGTGACCATCTGCCTTGCGCCAGTTGACCCTGGCAATGTGCTCCCCAGTCATAGAGAAAGCATCCGAGATGACCACGAACCTGCCGGGTTCTTTGAATGGCAGCCCTTCTCCACTGCTGTCAACTGCCACCACCTCAGGGAGCAAACCACCTTCAACAGGAGTCTAATCTTCCTGGGGGAGTTGCTGGCTTTTGCTCTCTGCATCGGCAATAAGAACCACTGCAGTTCCCTAGCATGCAGGCGAGCCCAGGGAACCATATTTAGACAGGATAGCATGATGCCGAGAAGCAGCGAGAGTTGGACGATCGGCAAGGAGCTGGCCCGGCAGCACTGACGAATTCTGTTCTTGAGGTTGCAAAGTCGGTCTGATGAGAGAAGCACCTGGCATGAAACACAGTCTATTATGGTGCCCAAGTGTTGGATGCAAGTCACCAGTTTGAGGTGGCTTTTTGTCTGATTCTCTGATAGGAAAAGGAGGTCAACTATCTTGACCCCGAAAGCTCTGCTTCCTGAAGGAACCAGAGCCCTTCTTCTTATTCTTTTTAAAAGTAGAGGGAAGGATCTTTCGTTTATCCTTTGTCTCTATCAAGAATTTCTCTAAGGGATCCCCGAAAAGGAGACCCCCCTTTGAACGTGGCTGAAGCCAGCTTCCATTTGGCCTTCATGTCCGCCTGCCAATGTCGGAGCCACAGCAGGCGACGTGAGGTCACATTGGAAGCCAACGCCCTAAAAATGAACTTTGCCACATTGAAGGAAGCATCCACGGAATACTCCACAGCTGTGATGATCTTATTGAGATCATGACGCCATCGAGAGACCTCTGAGGGAGGTTTAGATCTCAGCTGATGCAACCAGAGTAAGGAGGCCCTTGTAAAGAAAGAGGCGGAGGTGGATGCCTTAATGGCCCAGACAGCTGCCTGGTGCGTCTTGTGACAGGCCTTTTCAGACTTTTTGTCCTCTGCCTTAAGATCTTCTAAAAGATCTGTCGGAAGGACTGAGTTGGAGGTCAAGGAGACCACGAGGGTATCCACCTCCGGCAACTTTAAGATATCTTCCGTTTTAGATTCCAAGGAATACAGGGTCTTGTCACTCCCACTGGGATTGGCTAACGTACCCGGCTGCACCCATTGGCACTGCACGATGTCCATGAACAGGTCAGGGACTGGAATAAGCTCCGGGTTTGGAGCATTCTCCTTTAACACTCCCTCCTTAGGATCCTGGGAGGAAGCAGGAACAGCCTTATCTTTGGGTTTGGCTCCGAGCTCCGTAGAAGCCCCAGCCTTAAACGGCTTGAAATGGCCTTAAATGGCTTGAAATGGCCTTAAATGGCTTGAAAAGGCCTGTGAAGACTGGTTTATTGGGGGTATATCCTTGTCCTCCGACAATTCAAACCCGTCTGCAGCCTCCTCCTCCCAGACAGAAACCTCTGTTGTGACAGAGGTACTCGGAGAATCGGGGCTATGGCCCTACCCTCAGCGTGGCGGTGGCCGGGCTTAAGGCCTCTGCCACACCTGGCCTCCTTTTGGCGCATGGCTTCCACCATGCTCTGAGAAATAGCCTGGGATATTGCCTCCCTCATCTCAGCTGAGAGAACAGGGCCCTTGTCTTCTGCAGGTCTGGACCTAGAGGAAGTGAAGCCTCATTCCACTCTAGCTGGGGCTGAGGAGCCCTCCACATGGAAACAACCATGAAAGGGCTCCAACTCCTCTCTTACTGAGGAGCTGGGGGAATCAGGGTAGCCCAGGGAGGCTGCAGGGGACCCAAACTGAGAATCCCTACTGCTTAGGGATGGCAACTGATCCCCTTGGTTAGAGGGAGAATTCCCTCTCTCAGATCTGGGTGGAGGAGAGGCTGAGGGGGCCTCACAGACTTGAGGGAGAGGCGGCACCTGGGGCCTACTGGATCTCTCCCTTGGGGTCTCCTGCCTCTTATCACCCTGGCACTTGGGGCCCTTGCTCCCAGAGGAACTATGGGATGATTTCCCCCCAGTGCCCTTCCTCCCCTGGTATGAGGGATCTGGCCTGCTGTGCTTCGCAGAGGCCCCTGCCAGCTCCTTTCATGGCTCCAAATCTTCATCAGCCATTCTGAGGATGGATCGCTGGAATGGAGGTTGAAGCTACAGTAGGGAAGGACACTAGACACTGACCAGCCGGCTCCAGAGTGTCTGCAGATCTGCTTAGTAGCTGGAGGCTGGTTAAAGTACCAGGCCACTCCAAAGCTGCCTCCTGAGATAGGAATTCTTCTGGGAGGGAAGGTAGGCCCTGCCGGCGCCCCAGACAGGACCAGATAATCCCCAGCAGCAATCTGCGCTGAGGTGGTGAAGCACATGGCATAGGCGTAGCTCTCTCTGGCGACTGAGTGCTGATTTTGGCACCAAAAATGGCCACCGTGGCTTCGGCGCTCAATAAGAAATTCACCTCCAAAACCTGCAGGTGCCTGCAATAGCGGCTGTTAGAAAGCATGTGAACTCATTGCTTCAAAATTGCCGCCGCGCTATCTGGGCTTTCAGAAACGCCGCTGTGGAAAATAAGGCTCTCTGAAGCCCTCCACTCTGACAGGGTGGCCAGGGACGCAAAGAAACGCCGCTGCACCCGCACTCACTGGCACCCACCGGACAAGTGGTCTCCACAACTCCAACCTCTGTGTGCGACCAGCAGCCGGTCAGAACCCAGCGATCACCTCAGCAGCTTGAAAATCAAAAGGATTCTTGCAACAGAAATCTCTACACCTAACTCTACACTAGAAGGTAAATCAATTTTAAAAGAAAATTCCAAAGCTACTATTATCTACTATAAACTGTCTGGAGAGTCCAGTCTATCTATCCAAGGATTGAATAGCTCCCCAAAACTAGTCCTATCGGGCGGACTGAGTTTTTTAAACTGACCTTGAGGAGGCAAAAGAGGTGTGACCAAAGAAAAATCTACTCAGTCCTAGGGCAGATAGGCTGTGTTAACCCACGCTTGGACTCTCCAAGCAGCGCACAGGAGAATGCCTAAGCATACACTGCTTTTAATACTCCTCCCAACTTCTAAATAAAAGCCGGCTTCTGATCAGCACTAAAATTTACAGAGGATGTATGTCCTTTACACACTGGAGCCAGTTTTTATTTATTTATCATCCTCAATGTATTTACTATAATTATCTGTAGGTCACCTACTTGAATGACTTTAGACAGTTTACAACTATATATTTATACCAGTGTTTTCCAACCTTAGCGTCTTGGAGATGTGTAGACTTCAGAATGCTGGTTGGGGATTTCTGGGAGTTGAAGTCCACACATCTTCAAACTGCCAAGTATAAGAAAAACTGCACTGCACGTTTATTGTTGTAAAATAAAAAAATATTCAAATCGTTTAAATCTTAACAATTTTGCTTCTGTCTTCCATAAAACCCATTCTCTAAAACCCCTGTAGAGGAAGGAACAGCCTTTTCCTCCAAAGCAAATGTTGGGAGAAGCTTCTGGGTACAAACAATGGAAAACTCCTTTTCATCTATTCTAGCAGCAGAAATTCTCTCCTGGATTATAAAGGACCATTCTACTAGCAGGAAGCAAATACTAGATATAACTGAATTATTTGAAACCAGAAATAGTCTGAATAACAATTGAAATAAATCTGGACTGAAAGAATGGAATGGAAGGGAAGGAAAGGGAAGGGAAGGGAAGGGAAGGGAAGAGAAGAGAAATCTAGGAGGAATGAGGGCTGAGAGAGTTTATTTCTACAGTATTCTACAATACTTCTACAACCAATGGAACAGAAGGTGCCTTCGGAAGTTGTGGGAGCTTCATCACTTAAGACTTTCAAGAAGAGGCTGGAC